ACAAGTGTAACCCAAGAACCACCTGTGAGATTTACAAGAAAATGATTAAACCTAGACAGTAATACCAAAAGAAATGCTTGTGCAGAAGGTTGGAAAAAATCATTAGCTATCAGTTATCAAACACCAAAAAGACAAGCAATATGTTAATGAATTTCAATAGCTCAAAAGAAAATTGAAGCATGCACAGAAAGGAGAAATTTTAGGTGCAAAAGCTTCTTATCTATGGGTTAACAATCATACCGCACGCTTAAACCATTTCCAGGGACATTGGATCCACAACTGTGACATCTTGTATGCTTTGGGCACAAATATGGCCCAGAAGTAACATTCTGCATAATCCAGGGATTATGTGAGCCATTCTATTCTTAATCAACGTATGAAACTAAGCAGTAAGCAATGCACATCTAACCTTGTGTGACGGATGTTGGCAATAGCAATGGTATGCACCATCACACCTTTTGCAGAACATAAGCCTAGTTGGATCTCCAGTACTCCGGCACACCTGAAGAAGGGAAATGAGTAGCAATGAGTGCAACCAAGAATTTTGAACATTATTGGGTGCAAATGGGTACTAATGAGCATCACAAAATACCTCGCAGGTTCGACAGTAAGGGCATGTCCAGGAACTCCAATGAAACAAATCTGCAAACATACCAAATGTATAAAACTGCAGTAGTACAAAATAACATGGCAATAAATTATCGTGCCTCTATATTTAGCCCCAAATTCCTAGCAGCTACTTGCAGACTTGAAAGATCATAGGCAATAAAGTTCAGTACCTCTATGTTGAGCCCAAGATTTCAAGCAGCTCCTGTGGTACTTCTTGCCACATTTTCTGCAAGAGAGCATCCTTCTTGCCCTCTCACTTCCTTCATTTTCACCCATAAAGCACATGCGACACATTACATTTGTGTTGGACTGACCTTGCTCTTCTATGGCAGGACTTTTTGATGCAACCTTTAAAGGAAAGGAAAATCATCATTTCTAGAATAGCCAAAAAAGAGGAATACTACATGGTATAACAAGCAAGTAGAGACCAACCCATCCTCCAACATAGGCCCCTCCATTATTACTTTAACAAAGTTTTGTTTCCAATCAAAATGAAAGTAAACTAGCCAATAAAGAAACCAAAATCAACAAAAATATCTAACCACCGAATCTTTTCTTCCCTAGTACTTTCCATCCATAGCTTCACATGGACGTGCAAAGATATATATTTCCAAATATAAAGTGAAAAGCATACTTTACAAATGAATGATGGACAACCACAAAATAAACCCATAATCTAGCTCAGATTCAATAACAATGATCCCAAGATCACTACACAACGCACGCTTCACAGTATCAAAATCAAGAAAAAAAACAGATTATGCATAAAGACATCAACACAAGACATACATACATACTGATATAGTAAATTTGAATAACCTACAGAGTTAAGCACACAAAACAGAATTCAACCCAAACAGAATGCAAAACAAACTTAAATTGGTACAAAAAATTGCACACTACATATGGCAAAAAGTCAACTTTCCAATATAAAAACAACATGTAGCTGAAATTGAACATCACAACCCCTAAATGACAACAAAATTTACACTCCACTATATTTAACTCAATACCAAAATAAAAATTCAGATACCAAACTTAATGTATACCGTACAGATACATATAGCCGTATAACTTAACAAACGCATAGAGTAAATGCAAGAATATTACCGCAATATCACCCGACTCAACCCTCCTAGCATAATCCTCAGCCGCCACCATGGCAGCAGCGGCCTTTCTCTGAAGGGCGAGCCGCTTCGCCTGAGGCGACACCGAGGCCGCCTCCTGCACGGCACCAACACCTCCGCCACCGCCTCCATCCCCGGCCGGAACCGGTGCGACTTTAGGTACGGGGACCAGCACGGTCCCCTCTCGAGAAACCCTAACGCCCCAGGGGTCTTTCAAAAAGTCTTCGATACGAATCACTTCCTGCAAGAAGCCATTCTTGGAGTTGGGAGAATGGAGATTCCGAGGAAACCCTAGCGAACAGAAGCAAATTCGCCGACTACAAAACAAAGAGAAACCAGAAACATTAATACAAACGAGGTCTCGAGAGAACGTTAGAAGAAGGAGATAGGCCTTTTCTTTTTCTTTTTTTTTTAAAACAGCGTATGAAAAAAATTATTATACCATGTAATTGGGCAAGCTACGTGAAAGGCCATAGTGAGGGATTTTGGGATTTTGAATATTTTTGAGTTTTGGAGAGATTTAGCGATCTCGCTCCTAAAATAAAAAATAAAAAAAAAAAGAATAAAAGTAATTAAAATAATGTAGTGGGTGAAAACTTAAAAAAGCAAAACCGCTTTTATTTTTTATTTTTATTTTTCGGTTTTGTTTTTGTTGAGAGAAGGGTAAAAGCATTAACCGGCGACGTTAGCTAATGTTCTGTTTGCTTGGCTTGCGAATCTGGTTTCATTTTAGCACAAGGGAGAGGGTGGGTTACCATAAAGCGAGTTAGGTCAAAGTAAACGGGAATGTCTCCTCAAAAGTTGACACCTGGAGGTGGAAAGGCGTTCTGCTCTAGGATCTCTGCGAACTAATAATAACCTGCCATGTCAGCTTCTAAATGTATGGATGAATTACTTTTAGTTGGTTTCATTTTTTTTTTAATAAATAAATAATTTTCTCTCGTTCGTGCGTCGAACACTCTTTGGTGATATTTTTAAAGATTAATAAAAGAGAAACAATTTTTTTACCGAAAAATTTAGGATATTTTTTATTGTTTCATATCAAATCTATTGGGCGCATTTCATCAATATTTTTTTGTTAAAATTTTGCAATTCTTCAATTACATAAAAAATATGTAAAAATTTATAAATATAAATTTTATATATTCACACAAATTTTATTTGTGATTACAAATTAAAATATAATAATTTTAAATAATATGCTTCATAATATATTGTCCCACACTCCCACTTGATTTAAAAAACAAAAAAAAAAAGAGTGACAATCGTGTATGAAGAACATAAACGTTAACAGAGTTAGCTGCTTTTTCATTTTAAATTTATTTTAAGGCAAAAAATCAGGTAGGTATCTATTTATTGATATATTAAAAACACATTATGATTTATTAATAAAATATTAAAATTTTAATTTTAATAATCATAATTTAATTAATTGTAAGTATAATCATTAATATAGGATGTGGTCATCAACCATTTGAGAATCAATCTTTATTTTTATTTTTATTGTAATATAATTAAATTTTACCACTTATATGTGTAACTCAGATTTATCACTAATTTTTAAATGGTGTAATTTTATTTTTATACTTTTAATTATGGAATAAATTTATTATCATGCTTTTAATTTTTAAGTAATTAAAGAATATTCAATAAAAAAATTTAATTATTTTAAAATTAAAAAAATTGAAAATGATATGATAAGTAAATAATAACCGTAAAGTTAAAATCTCAAAATTTCTTTTGATTTTACTTATTTTATTCTTTTATTATAACATTGTTTACTAAAATATAGTGTCAAATAACCCAAAATTTTCCTTTTATTTTATTTTCCTTTTTTCTACTAAATAAAATGCCACATCATGGTTTCTAGTTGACCTTTTTCTTTTTCTTTCTCATGTCACTTTTAAGAATTTTTTAATTATAAAACAAATTCTGAAGAATTATTCAATCTTTTTATGGTTAGAATTTGACAAAAATATATTCTAAAATTATAAATATGATGATCAATTTACTTCGCAATTAAAATTATAATGATAAAATTGCACTAATTAAAATATTAATGATAACTTTGTATCGTATCCCTTTTTATTTGGTCTCAACATACATTTTTCAATCAAGGATAAAATGAAGGAAAATTTGAGTAGTGTTTATATTTCTTGTCACATTCATCTAGTGACATTTATACGGACAGACCTTATGGTTTTAATTCATTTATTTTCTTTGAAACTTGTAACCTACAAGCTTCTCTCCCTTTTAAAGTTTACTGGAATTAATTTGATTTAAATATATAAAGCAGATGAATCATAATTATAAAATGATTCAAATTTCTATATTTTTATTGTAATTAATTAAATCATTAAATTTTTTTTAGAATTAATCAAGTCTTTTAAGTTTTATGAAAATTGCTACGTAAGTAGCACCATTAGTTTTCTCATAAAAATTACCATGTGGCAATTGCGAGAAAAAAAAAAAAAAGAAAAACTTCTGAAAATATCACATGGCAAAGAAAGGTGACAGACAAAAAAAGAAAAGAATATGCTTTTATTTTAACTTGTTTTTTCATTTCTTCATAAATATTACACGGCGAAATATATTTTCACTATACAAATTTTATGAAAAAAAATTAATGGTAAATAAGGTGTTTATTTATGTGGCAATTTTCATATAAAACGAAGACTTAATTAATTTTAAATAAAATTTTAAAGATTCAGTTAATTATAATAAAAGAATAAAAATTTTAATTATAGTTCAAGATTTTTTTATATATTTAAGCATATTAATTTCCTAAGTTAAATAACTAGACCCTTCTTTAATTTTCTAATAAACAAAGAGCTCAAGTTTCAACTATTACATTGTTTAAAATCGAATACGTTTTTAAAAACATTCTAAATAATCAAACAAAATCGAAAATATGACCCAAAAAATGAGTTGATTATTCTTTTTTTTAAATAAAAAAAGACATTCATTAAATATAAAATTTGGGACAAACTTTGTCATTAGAACCCAATTATCTAACAATAAAAAATATCTTTTTGTTAATGGAGTTAAATGCCATCTCGTAGCTTCAACTGAATGATATCATTAAATCAATAAACAAGTAAATTGATCATACTTTATTACTATATTTTACCATAAGGTTAATAGTTAGAGAATCACAGTGAAATTGTTTCGTTTAGAACTCCAGATGTCAACCTAAATCGTTATTGTAGAAAAACAAAAGTATAACATCTACTACGTAATAAGCTAATTAGGTTGTTTATTTATATTATTATTTGAAAAAAAAAAAAAAGGTAATTTATCTAAGTATAAGCGACGTCGTGCTTACTTCCCTCGCGGTCTCGCCGTTTCATGAGCAGAACCATTTTCATCCGCGCTGTGCCAAACAGAACTTGCAGAGGAGAAAGAGAGACAAAACCATGAATGCTCCTGACCGTTACGAGAGATTCGTCGTGCCTGAGGGCACCAAAAAGTAACTTTTTCATTTTCATCCCAAACTCTTTGTTTCTTAAACCACTGTTACGAGATATCTGTCAAACTCACTGTTACCTTCTTGTTGGTTGAATTTTAGGGTTTCTTACGAGAGGGACACCAAGATAATCAACGCGGCTTCGTTCACTATCGAGAGGGAAGACCACACCATCGGCAACATCCTTCGAATGTGCGCATAATTAATATTCTCCCCCTTTCAAATTTTCGTCTCATTTTGTTTGTTGTGCTGGATTAAGCTTTAATTATTTGTTTATTTTTTCCTTGAACTCTTGAACGATGATAAACAATCAGGCAATTGCACAGAGACGAGAACGTTTTGTTTGCTGGTTACAAGCTTCCTCACCCTTTGCAGTACAAAATCATTGTTAGGGTTAGTGTTCGTTTCTTGTCGGGCTCAGGGTATTATTGAACCAAATAGGGCTAAACGCTATTAATTTTTGTATATATCATATTCATTTGCAGTCCAGTGCCGATTTTGGGGGTTTTGACTAATTTCGATGTAATTTTGTAGATACACACAACTAGCCAGTCTTCTCCGATGCAAGCATATAATCAGGCTATCAATGATCTGGACAAGGAACTTGATCATCTGAAGAATGTATTTGAGGTGTTACATCTGTTTTCTTCATAACTTACTAGTGCTATTATTTAAATTCAATTTATATCAGGGAAATTGAAGTGTTTCATAAAGCTTTTTGCATCAAAGTCTAACATGGTTGGGACAATCTAACACAGTATTCATCAAGTAATTGAAGTACTTGTCTGATTGAATGAATTGCTTAGGGTGCATTCACAGGAAGATGTGACAAATTAGGATTATAATTCTCTCTCTCTCTCTCTCTCTCTCTCTCTCACACACACACACACACACGCACACACACACACACACACACGCAAACAGAAGCTTTGCCTGTCACCTATCTAAGATTTACTCAAACAGTCAAAATATTTAATCTAATATGTTACTGTTAAAAATCATTCTGTATTTTGATAGTTTTGCCGAGTGCAGTGCTGATATTGAGCTTCATCCTCACTTTTTAATTTCAATTTGTAGGCTGAGGTAGCAAAACATTCAAGGGACTTCTAATGCAAGTTTGAGGCGCTCAGTAAACTGGTGCTTTTCTGTTTGGACTTTAAAAAGAAAAGAACCAATAACTTTGAGACATTTTCTCATTTTGAATGTTGTGATGCATTAAAAGCTGCAATGCATGCTATTGAGGCTTTTGTCATGACACTGTTATTAAGTACGTCTTGAAGCTGTTCAAGAAACAAACATCTTCTGCATTCTGTATTACATATTTTTAACTAAGCTGATCACTCACTAATTGTGTGGTTCCTGATGGTACTTGGTAGTTAACTGGTGCAGTATTTCATATCCATATGTGTATTTGATTTGTTTCTTCACCAAGGTAAACATGCTTCATGCTTTTCTGATCCATGGTTCTGTTTAATAATAAAATTGTCAATAGAGTAGCATTTCTATAGAAAATAATGGTTCAGCCATTAAGGAGTTATGAAATGGTCTGAAAGTAGCAGGTCGATTGAAATTGACAAATATATACATCTTGCGAAAGGGATTTATTGTTTTTAATTATTAGGAGGTTTTGCATACAGGACTTTTTAGAGTGTGTTTCCTAGTTCTCCATTAATGTGATTGTGAGGTATGCCAATGAATTTGGTAGCACGTTCTAGTTTAGTTAGATATAAAGGCTTATCTTACATTCACAAAATGGGAGTTATTTGCTCCAAATCCTATTGAGGGCAATACAAGTGGGAGTTATCTCCTCCCTTCGTCTAAGAATCCAGGTGAGACTGTTCCATTAATGGCTGCAAAGTGCCATTCGCTGACACAAATAGGCCTCCAAGCACATGGTGATGGTGCCAAATGGTAAGCTTGGAAGGTTATTTATATTTTGGAATGCATATTGATTAGTGAATTGGTCGATGTCCGGTCAAGCACTGCTCTTGCGCTGTTTTGTTGAGTTAATTAACAATGTCCAAATGGTGATGAAAGAATATATATTTCTTCCTACAAGCTACATTTCTACAAATAATTTGGCTTGGGTTTTCTGGTATCCTAAAGTTTAAACCTATCTTACTAGGATTGGCGTTTACATAATGGAAAACTCATCACTTAGGCCATCTAGTTGTCCTTTGATACTGTGTTGTTGGATGATCAAAATGGACGTATTGCATGTGAAACCTGAACCTGAAAGTACGTCCCCAACGGGACCCAGTTCCGGACATTGTTGCCAATCATTGAGTCCTAGAGTCAATACTGTATTGACTCTTCCACCTCGCCCTACAATGATGAGAGAATATTGCCCTTCCAATGACCTAAGATTAGTGTAGGTCTCAGATGAATTTGCAAGATGCTTCTCCACATAAGCTACTTTACCCCCTGCTACATATCTCTCATAGAATTCAGCAAAGCACTCGTCATCAAGCTTCATCTCTTCTTCTTGCTCTGCCATACTTACTCTTTGATTCACTCTTCTTGGTGCATTTTCTGAATTTTTATCTACTAGGAATCTTATGACCGTGAGCTTTACTCCAGGATGCCATGCTACGCGACCGGCATAGGCTAGTGCTTCTCGATCATCTTTGCCTCCAATAAAAATGATTGCCACATTAGCTACAGATGATCTTGATATTTTCGCGATAGATCCAAAGCCTCTGTCTACCAAAATGCCAATAGAACATGGGGCATTCCTAAGCAGCTGTTTCAAACCAGAAATATGGTTAATTGAATTCTTCTGAATTATGAAGGAGATATAGGTACTCATTACTCAATGTCACAAGAAAAGGTAAGGCTATTAATCTTACGGAGAGAATGCAGATATTCTTAGTGCCAAAAAAAAAAAAAAAAGAATGCAGATAATCTGCTACCTACTTTATCAAAGCATCAAAGGAAAATTTCTACCTTTTAAAGTATGAAACTCTTCTAAGTTCGAGTTTTTACCTTACGATTTACATATCTAAAGCCAGGATGGCCTCCATCAAGTGTACCGTCTGCGTTCAGTCTCTTATGAAACGGTAATAAAATAAGGGAAACCATAAAGTCTTCTGCTAAAACACTAAGATCTTGTGCCATGCCATTGAATGTTGAAAGTGCAAGCATTCGGCTAAGCGTAATACCACCGCTATTTTCATCTACGTAAGTTTGAAAGGCACGAGTTATTTGATCTCTCATTTCTGTCACCGACGTGTCAGTTACTGTCATGTTGTCGGCTCCTTCACCTGGTACCAGCGTTGCAGCTATTTGCTCTGTAAGTTCAATCATGTCTGTGACATGAACAAAGAGTCCAGGCTCAGGTGCGCCTCGAGTGATCTCCATTAAATTGATGGTAGAAGGCAAATTATGAGGTCCATGGACGCATAACAAGATTCTAAGTTCGCTAGAAGGATAAAGCCACTGCAGAGCCATCCGGTGAATTGGTACCCGTTTCCTTGCTCGTTCAATTATATGCTTCACAACAAATGGTGTGTGCACAATGGTTAAGAAGATCACAATCACCATCGAGATACAGGTTGTCACGTCGATTATTCCCCTCTGTATTTAATTAAAGGAGAAACAATTATAAATGAATCAATTTAATTTTACTCTATAATCACTACAGTCAGTGTCCTACTTTCAAATTAATTCGAAGTTATTTTTTTTATAAAGCTACTATCATTTATATAATTACATAATAATTTTAAGTAAGTTATTAGTTGGAAAAAGAATTAGAAATGCCAATATAAGCAGAAACAAATAAGAATGCAACTAACCCTTAGTACGAGAATAGCGAAGTATACGTGAAAATGACCCTTTGCCGTCAAAAGCATTCCAAGGGCTACCAATTCTGGCCAATGGTAACCTAAGAGTAACCCACAGATAACTGTTCCAGCAACTTTCCCAACTGTTGTGATCAATAAAAGAGAAAAAAACCTTACCCATGTTCCCATATCGCCTGCTTGAAAACTTGAGAAATCAACTTTAAGCCCCACCCAAAAGAAAAAAAGTGGGTAAAAAAGTGTGCTTAACAAGTAGTTGATTTTGCTAATCGCCCATTTCGATATTCGTCCCTCGGATGGTAAAAAAAGCCCTGCCATAAACGCACTAAGAAGAGAGTTGTAACCGTACCATGGTGCACAGGTGCATATAACGGCCATGAAGGCCATTGAGAGAACAAGGTGTGAGCCCTTCAGGGGCTTTCCTTCAGGGTTTTCGTTGTTAACCCAATTCATGAAAATTGGTGAAATCTTTGCTGCGACTATTGTTTGAATCACAAGTGCAGAACCTATTTTGATGGCATCCTTAATTCCTTCTCGAGCACTTGTATTATTCTCCATTGAAGCAAAAATAAAATTGACGGAGAGTAAAAACATGGTAATCATATCAGAGTGCACACCTGCACCAATAACAAGCTTTCCTATATCCGACTTGCCTATTTTGAGATTGGTTATGAGGCGAGTCAGTATGTGAGAGCCATTACCGGAGAGAGTGACGGAGAGGGCGATAGTGAAGGTGACCAAGTTTGTCTGTTTCGAATAATGCAGCCATGGAATTATAGCGCATGCTATGATAAATGTGGAGAGCATTCCAGCATAGGCCACCATTGCATGGCGAGTTGGCGACTTAAAGACCACGTAAGGGTCCATTTCTAGACCCAAAACGAATGCGTAGCAAATCATTCCGAAGTCAACAACATTTTCCAAAGTCAAAATTAATTGATTCACAAAGGAGTCACGTACAGGTGGTAGGCTAGCAAGGATGAGCCCTATCTGCATCCATTGTAATATATATTAATCATAACAAAAGAAATTAAATATGAAAACTAAATGTTTAGCATAATTCTGCAGAAGGTGGGGAGGAATGCATATGATTAAGAAAGCGCACAAATATTATCATCAAGAACATCGTCTCTGGGTTCATGCTACTTTTATGTATTTGAATCAAAATATTTGGAAACGTTAACTCCCAGAATCTATTAATCGGTAGAAAGTGAAAAATAGAGAGAAAGAGACGTACGAGAAGATCAGAAGTTATGTAAGGTTGGGATAAAGGCTTTAAAAGGTGGTGCACAATCCTGCTAAGAACATATGCCGCAATGAGAGCAAGAAACTTTCCAGATCCGCTCATCATATTGGCGGCTACAAAAGTTAAGCATTGCTGGTTCGTCGTGGTGTTATGGGACGTGGAGTTGACAATGGTAGTCGGCATATTTGACATTGTGTCTTGTTTTCCTTTATGTTCGTCCTTCGTGTTTCCAAATTCAAATTGATGAAGGATCTCTGTTAGCTAGATACTAATCCTCTGTTTAATTTCGTCTTCTTCTTCTTGTCAAAGTGGCTGTAAATTGTCACAATTTCTTTATCCTGAAGAATTTTCACCAGGATGAACGAGTGGATGTAAATTGTTGCCTTTAATGAGGAGCAAATAAAGGAGCAAGTTAAGGAAATTGAGACATGTGAGTGGTAAATGGTTGGTACCTATATCAAGTAAAACTGAGTCTAGGAATAAACGCAGGGTCCAATCAAATTCAAGACTTGTGTCCAAATTTGTGATACAATTTTTGTTGGTAGTTTAGAATATGATGTATCTTATATTTTATAAAAAAATTTAATTAATGATTAACAAAATTAATTTTTGTATTAATTTTATTTATATTTTAAATAATTATGTTTGAACAGAAATAATTATCATACAAATGATTATAATTATTTGAATATAACTAAATTATTATTTATAAAAATCATAATTATACAAAAGTTAATAATCATTGAATAAAAATTTATATCTGTTTATTTAATATAAATAAAATTTTCAGTATAACCATTTTTTTTATTAAAGAATTTAAAGTTTTGTTATATCCCAAAAGTTTAATTGCTTTTAAGAAAATGTTCTTGATGTCTTAAAGTTAAAATTTTTTTTATTATTTTTATTCACTTATTTATTTTTTCTAACAATTTAAAGGTAATTATGAAAAAATTTAATTTTGTATAAGGAAGATATAAAGAAAAAAAATTGACATGATTTGGAGATCAGCATTAAATAAGGCTCAACGTGTCAAAGGTGCTGTAGCATGCTTCTGTTTGTTTGACCCGCATTGCTGAAGCCTTTGCATCTTCCCCTAATAAATTAGATGAGTTGTGCAATCATGGACTTGTTACTCAAGCTACATCTCTCATTTCCACAAGTAATTCTAGAGGTGGACAGGCATCATTGAGCACACCAACATATACGGGCTTAATTCGACTTCTTTTAACATGTGCAAGGGGGTTTCCTCTGGAAGCAAAAACTCTACTTCTGCTTACGATCAGTGGCTTACTTAAAGATATACTATCAGGTTCTGGCGTTTCCTCTAACTTATCCGTTCCACCAGCTTAAGCAGACCAGCGGAGCAGATTTTTGAGATTGTCAATCTGGCAAATAAGCTTCTTCCTCCATTACCACAAGGAACCATCTCCCTCCTTGGCAGCTTAAATATATTTGTGAAAGGATCTATTGTAAAGAAGTCTTCTGCTAGTAGCTCTAGCAAGCAAGAAGATACCAATGAAAACGCTCCTGAGGTTTCAGCCCGAGAGAAATTGTTGAATGATCAACCCAAACTTCTTCAGCAGTTTGGAATGGATCTCCTTCCTGTTCTCATACATATCTATGGTTCCAATGTTAATAGTGCTGTTCGCCACAAATGTCTTTCAGTTGTTGGAAAACTGATGTACTTCAGCAGCGCAGAGATGCTTCAGAACTCGTGGAATCTGACAAACATATCAAGTTTCTTGGCTGGTGTTTTAGCATGGAAAGATCCATATGTCTTGGTTCCTTCCCTCCAAATTGCTGAGATCCTCATGGAAAAGCTTTCTGGAACCTTCTCCAAAATGTTTGTTAGAGAAGGTGTGGTTCATGCTGTAGACCAACTTGTTTTAATTGGTAATCAAAATGCCACTCCTATTCAAGCATCTTCTGTTGAGAAGGATAATGACTCTGTATCTGGAACGTCATCGTGTTCCAGGCGTTACAAACGTCGCAGTTGTAACTCTAATCCTGAAGGTTTTATCTGCATGTAGTTATATCGGTTTGCTTGGAGAAGGCAAAGAGCACTTTGACTCTCTGACCAATGTTTATGGAATAGTACCTACAATCGAGCATTATGCTTGTATGATTGATATTTTAGGTCGAGCTGGAAAATTTAATGAGGTTGAAAGCTTTATCAAGGACATGAAGGTTACATCAAATCCTTTAATTTGGGATTTTGTTGGATGTTTTTGTTGGGTCTTCTCTTGTTGATCTTTATGCGAAATGTGGTGAGATAGAACTCGCAGAGAGAGTGTTTGTTTGCATGGATAAAAAGGATGTCATGTCATGGAATGCATTGCTCAATGGATATGCTCTAAAGGGTGATGCACGAAAGGTTTTGAATTTGTTTCAAGGGATGACGGAATCTGAATTGAGGTGTAGTAAGTTTACTTTGTCAAATGTGCTCAAAAGTTGTACATACTCGGGAGACTTAATGTGGGGCTTGGTTGCGCATTCTTTGGTGATTAAGACTGGTTGTGAGCAAGATGAATTTGTTGGTTGCTGCCTTCTTGACATGTATTCAAAATGTGGACTGGTTGAGGATGCACTCAAGGTTTTTAAACGGGTTCAAGAACCCAACATAGTAGCCTGGAGTGCAATGATTGACTGCCTTGATGAACAAGGCCAGATTCAGGAAGCAGCTACTATGTTTTGCCTAATGCGACGCAAAGGGGTAAGCCCCACTCAACATACTTTTGCCAGCATTATTGGTGCTGGCAGTAATATGGGTGATCAGTTCTATTGTGAAGGCATTCATGCTTGTATACTTAAATACGGCTTTGAATCTAAAAACTTTTTGAGCAATGCGCTTATTGCCATGTATATGAAAATCAGGTCTGTCCAAAATGGTTAGCAGGTGTTTAAGGAAATGAATTCTTGGAATTCAGCGTCATGGAATGCCCTTCTTTCTGGAACGTGTGATGATAGAACTTGTGATCAGGGACCAAGTATCTTTCACAAAATGCTTGCTGAAGGTTTTAGGCCTAACATCTATATGTTTACTAGCATTCTAAGATCTTATTCCAGCCTTTTAAATCTAAAATTTGGACATCAAGCGCATGCCCATATAACAAAGAATGGCCTAAATGATAATAATTTAGTGGGAACATCTCTTATTGACTTGTATACCAAAAGTAAACACTTGAGGTTGCGGAGCTACTTTGTAGTCAATTAATTGAGATAGTTGCTTTTCACAAAAAGTCATCATTATAAATAAGATAACTTTAATAGTCAAATTTATATGATTTGTAGGTATGATGTGAATTATTATGATTGGCTTAAAATAGCCATAAACCACAATTGATGCTATAATCTTGATTATATTATGGTAATTTTTTGTTATATATATGTTCTAATTCATGGATTGTACAAATGATTTATTATATATGATTTTATAAAATGAAATTTTCAAAGTATATTTACTTTGGAAGCTATGAATGATTCAAAGATCTTGTGAATTTGAAAACTTTTATAATAGCAAAAAGAATACTATTTGATCCATTTAGGTGATGGAAACAATTTTGTTCATGGTAATAAAAAAAATTATTAATAGTGTTTATGATGAAATATATTCATCTAAATATTTATGAATTGACATAAAAATCTTAAAAAGAGACTATAGAAGTATGATTATATTTGAAATCTGTTTATTAATATAAACTCTTATATTGAGTTAAAATATAAAGGCTTTGAAACTTTTATTGAAATATTAAAATATAAGCTAATTGTCTTTCACTAAAGATGGATTTGAAGGTCTCCTATTTAAAAAAAAAACACCAAATAATGAAAAGATAAATGAAATTGTAACTTAATTAAGTATATATGATATCTTGATAATTGAATGAGATATTCTTTAATAAATAATGTATACTTGCACATAGTGGGGATGATAAGAATTAAAAGAAATAAAAATTACCATCATAGTATTATAAGATTTTAGTATAATTTTATAAGCAAATTATACAAATTAATAAGTTTAAACACTTATTAAAGTAAAGTCATAAAAATGTCATTTAAAAAAAATTTTAAATGACTAAAATTATTTGGTTTATTCATTGAGTTTTTTCAATTGTATTAGAAGTATAATTGTATTAAATATATATAAAAGTATGAAAATAGAATGGTTGAAAGTTATGAGTATAGAATTGTGGTCACAACTAAAACCAACTATTTTTTAAAATGATAAAAATAAGACAATAATGTCTAGAGCATATAAATGATATGCAAAATAAAAAGTTTAGATATATTAGCCTAAAGTGATTATATTAGAGATTCAATCTCAAGTGAGTAGTACTACATGTAGAATGAATTTCAAGATATTTAGTTAGTAGTTCTACATGTATAATGAATTTAAACTCTTATTATTAAATACCAATAATGGGAACCCAACTTTGAATTAGTAACATCTAATTACAAAGTTTAATGGGTAAAAATAAGTTATTGTTATGTGTTTGTTAAAAACTAGTAAAATCTATTCAAATTTTAAAAACTAGTGTGATCCATTACATGGAGAGGATGAGTTTTTATACTTTTAATGAAGTTTTTATACTTTTAATGAAGTTTTAAATGTCTAAAGTAATAGAGATATAATGAAAACTCTACCTATATAAACATAGAAGTGGTGACGCTTTAACAAGAAAAATTTGGGTCTCTTTTATAAATGTTTATGAATAGGATAACTACATGGTCATAATAGTGCCAAAAACGGTTATAAACCTCTGACAGGAGAATAAATAATTATCATGTGTTATATCTTCAATTATAACACTAGGAGTTGAGATTTAATCTGTGGATACTATCAACTTCGTTAGAATTCTAATATGTATATGCTAATTGAATGTTTAAATTGAAAGATACCTTCTTGTATTCATAATATTTATTTGTGTGAAAGATAAAAATTAAACACCAACATTCCAAACTAGTGGAGGATTATTGGTAGTTTAGAATGTGGTACATCTCATATTTGATAGAAAGATTTAATTATTGATGAATAAAATTAATTTTTGTATTAATTTTATTTATATTTTAAATAATTATGTTTGAGTAAAAATAATTTTCATATGACAAATGGTCATAACTATTTAAATATAAATAGATTATTATTTATAAAAGTCATGATTATACAAAAAGTAATAACCATATTTTATAAATAAATTTTTTAGTATAATTATTTTCACTGCTTCTAATTAGAGAGTTTGAGACTTTATTATATCTTAAATGTATAATTATCTTTAAAAAAATATTCTTCACATTTCAAAATCAAATTTTATTTTTATTTTTATTCTCTTTTTTTTTTTTCTAACAATTTTACTAAAGCCAAGCACATCCCAAATAACGTACGATGGTCTCACTCTCATCAAGAGTTTATAAATTTTCTTTATTTAGTTATCTCATGAATAAAATACTTAACCCAAAAATACCTACATAACTTGAATTAATTATATGCATGTAAAAAAGAATATATATATATATATATATATATAATCTTTTCTCTCATATCTAAGCTAGAGTTTTCCGATCAAAATTAGCATTTTTTTTCGTTAACAAAAATTAAAGGGGGGAATGATCCACAAAAGTCGAATTCACTGTAGAAGTAGAAAACCTAAAAAAGTAGTGTAAATTTAAAAGGTTGATGGTTCCTACCTATGGACTTCCACCATGCAATCAGAAGTAGTCCCAGGTTTCGGTAGAGTCCGTAGTTTTGCCATTGATGGGCCCATGAATATTTAACTGGGTTTTTGTACGGGCCCATGTCGCCACCGACCTTCAAATTTTTAGCCGTTGCTACACGGACCAATATGGCTTGACACTTTATTTTAAACCCAATTAATAATAATAATAACAATAATAATAATAACAACAATAATAATAATAATCAATTACCGCTCCTGACTGGCTTGTCAGATTGCAACTCACAAAGCGGAGACTATAAATACACAGACTACGGCATATAATAGTAGAGAGAGGACATTTTCCCTACGGTGAGACTTTCTCGGCCATTCTCTTCCTCCATCCGTCCGATCCCAGAGAATTAGGTCTCTCCACTTTATACATCGATCTCTGTCGTTATCTTTTTAACCAGCTTGTAAATGATATTATATAAACAATATTTTATAAAGAGAAAGAAAGAGAGAGAGAGAGATAGGCGTATGGTTGTTTGAACGGAAATGGCGTTGATATCGACGGGAGTGATGCCTGTGTGCGGGAGTTTGTGCTTTTTTTGCCCTTCCTTGAGCACCAGATCCAGGCATCCTGTCAAACGTTACAAGAAATTTCTCGCCAATATTTTTCCTCGATCTCCGGTTTCTGCCTTTTTTCTCATCTTATTTTCTATTTACTTGTTGGAAATTTTGTAACAATTTGAGTGGAACTAATCATTTGTTTTTCCTTTTTTTTGCTTGAATGATAACTGATAGGATGGACAACCCAATGAACGAATGATCAGTAAATTATGTGAATATGTTTCCAAGAGCCCTCTTCGTATTCCAAAGGTACGCTAATGCTTCTTTCTTTCATGTCCTGAAATCTTCATTTTTAGATAATTTTTAATTTACACATCCAGTAACTGAGATGTTCTTGATTTAATCTTGTCCTTGCTAGTTTTCATTGAGGTTTTCGCTGTGTTTTTGGTTCTAATTAATCTTATTGTTTATTTACTATTGACGTTCAAAACCTAATTTTCAACCTTCTGATTTGTTTATTTTTTGGAATCAGATAACAAGTTCATTGGAGCGGAAATTTTACAGGAATTTGCGAAGTGAGCAATTTCACTCTGTAAAAATTATTGTGTATATCTACAGGAAGCTGATGGTTTCTTGTAAGGAGCAAATGTGAGTTCCTTTTCATATGAATGTGAGTATGCAATAAGGTCATACGGTACTACTCTATGGTCCATTTGCATTGATCACATGCTGCATTCGCAACAAAATTCAAGGTTATTAGTTAATGTTTATGACCATCATCAGGTCATTAAATCTTCATGCTATGATATTTTGAAACCAAATACCTTAGGAGCTAATCTCTCGGGTTGATTGATATTAAGTCATTTTCTAGTTGGCCTGGTTATGACCCTTTTTTCAAATTAATTTTAGCAGCTATGTTCAGCAATAACTCTATATGGATAAGATTTCGGTGAAGTTTGGAAGTCTAATGGGTCAGACTGCAGTATAAGGTAAAAATGAAAAAAAATTAAAGCAAGTAATGTGAACTGTAAGCTGATAATAAAGACATGCCTTCTCTTTCTTCACCTCCACTTTCTAAGAGTCCTACAAAGCTCTCATTATCAGATTAGTATTCATTCCCACTTGATATTCTGGTTTCTGAATGACAATGGACTGATACGTTGAAACAGAGTTTTCTTTGCAAGTTTATAGGATATTTTACAATTTTCTGATCAATATATCATGAGGAACAAACCTTGTTATAATTTTTTCGAATTTTAAGTAGAGTCATTATTTGGTCAAGGGGAACCTTAAAAGTATAGTCATGTCATTATGCCTACACGCAATAAGGAATGCACTGAAGTGCATTTTTTAAATTTTGGGTCATGACATTTGTAGTATATTCATTTTTGACACATACTCTGACAATCTTAGATAGTGCTTTCTGCTGTAAGGCTATATCATCTAACCTCCATTGAGGTAAAAAAGGAGTAGCTAATAGTTTTTATGTGGGCATCAATAAGTTGCCACAGCATTTAGATGGAGGTAAGGATAGCACCATGCATACAAATATATGATGAAGTTGATAATGATATTTGTAGGCCAACTGAGTACTTTTACCAACCAGAATTTCTCTTGGGTTAAAACAAGAAATCTTAATGCAGTTGGCTAGGCATGCAAGTGTCCGGTTTTGAATCTCTAATTTTTTGCTCCTACGTGATTGATTTGTTTCTGACAAAAAAAATAAAAAAACTTCTCTCCTTCCCTTTATTCCCCTTTTTTCCTTCCCACTTGTGAAAAGAGATGTTGAAACAAGAATTTAGTTTGAAAGCATATCTCTTTTCTTGGTGGTCTTTTTATTTTGGACTATAGAAAGTTAGAATGCTTCTTTCTTGAAATTTGAGGAAACAATTTAAGCAAATGCAGCCTTAACAACAAAATATTATTGGAAAGTTCTAGATATATGTCTAGAGCACTAAAAGCATATCAATCAACTAGTTGATTTGTTGTTATATACTATATTGCAGGCCATTGTTTGCAAGTAGCTTTCTTAGCATTGTAGAAATCCTGCTAGATGAAACAAGAATGGACGATACGCGTGTATTGGGATGCCAAGCTCTTTTTGTTTTTGTGAATAATCAGGTAGGGGTTGGTAGATTGTTGCCACTTTATAGAATCACTTGTTTATCTCAAGAAGTACTTTACTACATAAAGTTCAAGCTTCTTCTAATTCCTGTGAAACCCTTCATTCTAATCTTTCACTATTTTTGACAAGCCAGAGGGATGGTACTTATATGTTCAACTTAGATGGATTGATTCCGAAACTTTGTCTTATAGCTCAAGAAATGGGAGAGGAGAGGAGGGTACAACGTTTGCATGCTGCTGGTCTCCAAACCCTTTCATCTGTGGTAATTTTCTGTAGCTATTGAAAATCTTACCTAAACCCCCACTGTTTTTAGTGATTTCCTTTGGACTAATAGGAATGTTATGCTAGTTTTTCTCATAACCATCTCCAGGTTTTGTTTCTTTGAACTTTGCCTCCTGTAATCACTTTAAGTATGAATTTGAAATCCACTTGTTTTCTGGAATTTTGTGGCCCTTCTTCCCCTGTATGCTTTAAGAATTTTGTAGGACCATGATCCTTGATTATTTAACGAGAATTATTTTTCCTTTTTCTTGTTATTTGGGCCTATACACGCACAAAAAAGGAGCAAACTGTGTACTGAAGTTCTAAGTAATGCCTGAAGGGCAGTTAGGATGTAGATTTTGTTGTTTCTGTAGGAGTCCAGGTCGTAACTAATTGGTTCTGTCAAAATGGCCCAGTGGAAGGAGCATACAGGGACAACATATATTCAATAGATGGGAAAACATCTCAATCCAATTAGGAAATCAGTAGTTTATCCCTTTACTTTTCCATTATTTTCTCTTGTTCATCTCTCCATATTTGTATTCCCTCTGCCATATATATTTTATCCATCTTAATTGTAGCTTAGGAGAGCTCTTTTCTGTTATTTTCTCCTATTTAGCAAATTTATTTCCATTGCTCATTTTTAGGTCCATTGGTGTCTTTGATCTTAGGCATTTTAATGAACTTGTGCTATCTTTTACACTTCTTATGCTATGTGATTGTACTCTGGTTACTTGTACCATTTTCTTTATGATTTAATAAATTTTACCTTAAAAGGGACAAAGTTTCAATTAGTGTGGGTGTGAGAGGTGACTGGTGAGGATTTAAAAGTTAAAATTGGTGCAGAAAATTGTCTTATCTACTAGATTGCTGATACCATAAGTTTGATCATACGTGAACATGAAAATAGTGGAATCTCTGTTAACAACAATGGTATCTTCGGGAATTGTATGGTAATTTTTTGCTTCTTTCGTTTAGGTATTTGATGCAAATTGATCCTTTCTGCTTCTCTAGTCAAGTTTCCATAGAATTCATTATTACATAGTTCAAAATGATCCTCGGTCTTGTTGTTTTGTTTATAATATTATTACTAATTTATTTACAATGATTTGTCCTACTTATTATTAGATTTTAGATCATTTAATTTTCCACCACAAGGAGAAAGAATAATAAAACCTCAATTAACAGAAACCAAAAAACAAAAAAAGGATTAACTCCTTCCACAATCTTCTAATTATTCTTTTTACAGGTTTGGTTCATGGGAGAGTTCTCTCATGTCTCAGCTGAATTTGATAATGTGAGTTTTTTGGAACCCTTTACTTAATTTTTCTTTAATTTTTCTTCTTAAATTAATTTTCCATGCATTCCAATCTCTTGGCACCATGATGTGAAATGGAATGCAATGCTGCTGCAGTTTAAAATTTCAGCACTAAATTGAGATAAGAATTGGGAGCTAGATTTGGAGATTGTATTTCTTAGCAAAACAGGAACTGCTCACTCTGAAGGTGTTTTAAACAGGATTGATTGCACCTTTCATGTGTGAAACTAAGCTGGAGAAGAACAAATAAATGGATCAAAATATTCTTGGTGATCAAATGTAGGATTCTAAGTAATACACCTAGGTGAAAGCAATCACACGTATAAGGCTGTTACTCCAAACCAAAAAATAGCATAATGTTAGAAACTTTGACTTACTAAAATCAGTATAAAGTCGTAATAATTTAATCTTACTCCACTAAGACTCTTATGCCAATGTACCAACTTTGACTAATAATGTGGATATAAAAACTCCATTAAACTAAGATTCTTACCCACTTTCATCTGGAATCTATATACTGCACTTGTACCCTAAAAAATCAGGGAATCCTAGATTAACTTAATAAAAAAGTAACCTTAAAGCCACAAGAAAACTTAAAACTTTACCGGTAATGTGAATATTTCATAATCAGGTTGAAAAAAATTTACTTAGTTGCTTTGATTTCTGTGTGTGTTATGATGTTATCTACAATAGACATTTTAGCAGTAGAATGTTATGTATGGGAATTTATATAGTACCTTCGCTGCACTGGTTAGTATCTGTTTGTGTCATGTGCTTCAAATTTCATGTTCCGATATACTTTGTTTAAGGTTGCTTAAAGCTTCCCCTAAAACACCAGGTTGTTTCAGCAGTCTTGGAAAATTACAGAGGTTTGGAAACATCAGATACTGTTAATCATGACAAGCAAGATATACAGGATGGCTGTGCTGAAGACAATTTCTCTTCCACAGATGCCATGACAACGCTTTCTTGGAGGAGTATTGTGAGTGAGACTGGAGAAGTTCATGTGTCTTTGTAATTGCTCTTGTCACAATTTTTCAATTGCTGTGGTCATTGTACATATGGAATGCTTAATGACTAATGTGCAGTCCCCTTTTTCCCCATTAATATTACAGGGAGGAAGCTGAGAATCCCAAATTTTGGTCAAGAGTTTGCCTGCATAACATGGCTAAGTTAGCCAAGGAAGCCACAACTGTCCGACGTGTCTTGGAATCTTTGTTTCGGTTTTTTGACAATGAGGAACTATGGTCTACCCAGCATGGTGTAGCTCTTTTTGTCTTGCAGGACATGCAGTTAATAATAGAGAAATGTGGTATTTAGCTCGTTTGACATTGATATGAATTGCTTCCTTGAAAGCTTAAGCAGCCTTTCTCTCCATTAAAACTAATTGTCATCTTTTGAGAGAATTTTGGTGTGATTTTAAGTGATTGTTTTGTTAATTATACAGGGGAAAACACACACTTTTTGTTGTCCATCTTAGTAAAGCATCTTGACCACAAGAATGTTCTGAAGAAGCCCAGTATGCAGCTACATATTGTGGATGTTGCCACTTCCCTTGCTCAACAAACAAAAGTTCAGCCATCCGTGGCTATAATTGGTGCATTAACCTATATGACAAGACACCTACGGAAAAGCATACATTGCTTACTTGATGATTCCAGTCTGGGAGCTGAGGTGATTCAATACAACCAAAATTTTCGAGCAGCAGTAGATGAGTGCCTTGTTCAATTATCACATAAGGTCACTTTATTCTCCACTTTTTTGGTAACTGGTTTATAAAACATCATTTATTTTGAAACATGATTTAACTTATATATGGTTGATTCAAATAGGATTTAACATACGAGCAAAATAATTATAATCCTAACTCAATAATACGATATCTTCATGATATTGTAGTTGCAACTTGGTAATATTCTTTTAAAATAAATGCATAACTAAGATACCTTGCAAAGGCAGGTTGGGGATGCAGGTCCTGTCCTTGATATGATGGCTGTGATGTTGGAGAACATGCCAAACATTACTCTTATGGCCAGAACCTTGATAACTGCAGTTTATCGTACTGCTCAAATTATGACATCAATTCCAAATTTGTCATACCAAAACAAGGCAAGGCAACATTTACCATCTAATTATATTAGTATTGTGCAGGAGATTGTGTATCTTCTATTTTAGTTCCTTATCTTTTCCTCATTTCTTCTAAATATGAAAATTTGTAGGCTTTTCCTGAGGCATTGTTTCATCAATTACTTCTAGCAATGGTCTGTGCAGACAATGAAACAAGGGTTGGTGCTCACCGCATATTTTCCGTTGTTCTGGTTCCAGCATCTGTTTACCCTTTTCCTTCTGCTGCTACTCCTTTTTCAAACAAGGCCACTAATATGCAAAAGACACTCTCAAGAACTGTATCTGTATTTTCTTCTTCGGCTGCACTCTTTCAGAAGTTAGGTGAGGAAGATAAAGAAAAGGTTGTAGACAACAAGGTTGGAAACATCAATGGCGTCTCGATGCAAGATAGTTTGAACTATGCTAAAAGGCAACCTTCAATTGTAACCACAAATGAAATTGTTGACAGTGACTGTGCAAAGATCCAAAGCCAGACCATTCTGAACAGGTTGAAGTCAAGTTACAGCCGAGCTTATAGTGTAAAGATGAATCCATCAGCTACAATAGAAGATGAAAAATCAATGAGTAATTCAGTTGAAGTTCCAGTTATGCATTCATGTTCCTGCCTTTCAATCAGCCATGCACAAAATTATTTCTTTTCCTTTATTTGACATGACCTTTCCTTTTCTTCTCAACCCATCTCAGGCTTTACCTCTTCGTTTAAGCAGTCATCAGATAACTCTGATGCTTTCATCTATCTGGGCACAATCCATCTCTCCTTTAAATAGGCCTGAAAATTTTGAAGCAATTTCTCATACCTATAGCCTGGTGTTGTTATTTGCACGGACCAAGGTATTACATCATTCTTGAAAAATTAGTAACACTATAATTATAACTGATGATGGATTTGGTTTATCCTTCCTTTTTCTATATACTTTCTTAACAAGTTCTTTTTGCTGTCTGTTTGCCATGCATCCATCCATACATACAGAAATACATGCATGCATGTGCCCATATGTGTGTTTCTGTCTATTATAGTTTGGCATTATGATGCATAGGGGAGTAAAACATTTATGGCTGTTGAGTGTTGACTGATTCTTCCTCTTATTTGGCTGGATCAAGTTTTAAATAGTTTTCAGCCAACAATCACTTGATTTGTGTGAGGTGGAACCTAAGGAAGATAATGAACATGTTAAGTATCTTGTTATGGTCATGCTTAAACAAATATATTGACATTGCTGTAGGCACACTATTGGGTGTATTGAGCAAAGATACATGCATTGGTTCTGCAGAGGATCAACAGATAAAAAAACCTCCAGTCAATTAATGATGCTTTAGAGTTTCCTTTTGCAACTGGGACCAAGGACAATATGAATTTCTAGATGAAGTGAAAAAATTTATGCAATAGCTGCTTGGTTAATGCTATTTCTCCAATATAGGTGTAACACTATTAATAAAGTTATTAGCGTAGCTCATTAAGTTGCTTTGCTCTTAGCAATAAAGACTTGAGAAGGTATATATTAGAGTAATGTTCTGATTAATTAGAAGCCACTGAAAGGACCATAGTTGCAAGGTAATGCATCTTGATGTGGTGGGTAAAAACCATGACCATCCACATTTCACAAAGGCTGGCTTTGTTTGTTTGAGAGTTGTGTATTTTACAGTTTTTTTAAATTGTGAATGGTTCATGTACACTGTTGTTTCAGTTGCTAGAGTTAAGGTTTTCAAATAATTGGGAAACAAATATGGCTTTATAAGATTTTTAATGAATCTTTTCTAACATAATTTACTATTAAAGTCTCTTATTGTTAAATAGTATTTGTTACTGTTTTTCTTAGCTATACTTCAAAAGATAGTTCACTGCTTTCATTCAGTTGGTTTTCTTACAATGCATTATGTTATGTAGAACTCCTGTAATGAGGCTATGATTCGAAGCTTTCAGCTGGCCTTTTCCTTAAGAAGCATATCTCTAGGAAGAGGAGGTAGGCCCTGGTTCCAAGTTGTACAAATTATCATCTGTTTCAACTCAAGTTCCCAAAAGCCTTTGTGTCATATTATGCTTAATCTAAAAGAGTGATATGACTGTAAAATTTCAGAGTTTCCAATTCATTCTCCTGGCATATTGAGATATAGTGATCTTAAACACCAGTAGAATGATTGAAAATAAATTATAAAGCTACATGTAACTCTGTTTTAATTCAGTTTAAGTGATCAATTGTTTTTTTTTTTTCTTAATGATATTTTGATAGTAATAGTGTGATTACAATTGATTTTTTTACTTTTGAGAATAATTACATCTTGCTAAGTTGATGTAGCTCTGAAACTAAATTACTTGAGTAAGAACTATAGAAAGAAAATTAGAGAGCAAATTCAAAAAGAGGGAGAAAATTCAAATTCTCAAACTAGTGTTTGGGGAAAGAAATGAAAAGGTAAAAAAAATCAGAGCCAATTAGGATAATTGTGTAGACCTATATCCTTAAATTTTAATGAACCTCATGGATAATCATCATTTGAGATGCAACTTCTGGATCCATCTCTTCATCTGATGAAGTCTCTTGTTTTTTCATAGGGCCACTACAGCCATCACACCGGAGGTCCCTCTTTATCCTTGCTACTTCTATGATCATCTTCTCATCAAAAGCCTACAACATTCCCCCACTTTTCCCTTGTGCTAAAGCTTCACTTACAGAGAAAATAGTAGGTGCAGCACTATTGATTGGGATTTTCTTGGTTTATTTTCTTAATCTGATTTTGTGGACACATCACATTATCATATAGAAATATATTGAAATTTAATGGTTATCTAACTTTATACTCTTATGATTTTGTTTAAGGTTGACCCATTTCTGCAGTTGGTCGATGATTGCAAGTTACAGACTGCTAAAACTGAAGTAGAGCATCCAGGAAAAGTATATGGATCAAAAGAAGACAATGAAGATGCCTTGAAGTCACTTTCAGAAATAGAAATAGCAGATAACCAATCTAAAGAGTCATTTGCAACAATGATAGTGAACTTTCTTGGAAATTTGTCTGATGTATGGCCTTTATTGGTTTGCTGTAACTAAAACGTTGGTTCACACTAGGGAGTAAGGATGACATACTAACATTTAAAATCATTCTGGCAGCAAGAATCATCCAAAATAAGAAAGCAGTTGCTTAGTAATTTCATCCCTGATGATGGATGTCCACTTGGAACTCGTCTGTTCACGGAGACACCTGCACAAACATATGAATCTGGATCAATAGATAATCAATCTACAGAAAAGGCAATTATCTTTTGCCTTCAATTCTTCCCGCTCCATAATCTCTTTCATGAATTTCACACCAAGTGCATAATGTTGTGAATGTCCAGGTTGAGTCTCCATTATTCACAGCAGATGATGATGTTTTGCCTAGTCCATTGAAAGGTCAAACAGGTAATGACACATGTTTGGCACTTGAACCTCGAAGTCTCCTGAGTGTTGATGAACTTCTTGATGCAGTGAGTCATTCCATTGACTAATGCTGTATGTTAATCTACTGGCATATGTGTAGGAAATGACAGTTATAATCAAATTTATTTCTGATCTATTTTGCAGCTTTCAGAGACAGCAGATCAAGTTGGAAGATCCTCAGTCTCAACACCCCCTGACATGCCTTACAGTGAAATCGCTGGCCACTGTGAGGCCCTTCTTGTGGGAAAGCAGCAGAAGATGTCTGCCTTATTGAGTGCTCAACAGAATCGAGAAAGTTTAGTGAGCATTTCTGCAAAGGAGGTCCAGCCTCTTTATCATATTGAATCAGGTTCCTTGAAGGTACTAACTTGTCTAGTGGCCACATCAAATATTTCTTATTCAAACAAAACGTTTATTTTGGTTCTTTTCCTAAGTACTATTGAAATAGTGGAAGGACATTCCAGTAATTGGAATTTAGGGGCTTTTTCATATAAATTTCTGTACCTAGCATTACCAATCATGCTCCCTAGCAACCTTCGGAGAGAGTTTAAAATTCATATGACCAAATGATGGGACCTCCCTCCTAGCGATAATTGATAATAAACCTCTTTATCGAATAACCACAGCCGCTGCAATTTTCCACTGTGCACACACACCAACAGCAGTATGACTACCAATTTTGCCATGTTTACCCCTTGCTTGGATTTGGTGTAAAGTGTATCATATGCCCATTCAATTTTTTCTTAGTTTTTACTTGAAGGGTCATACCAGATGGCAAATGGTCATGTTGGGATGTCGGCTGTATGTCCAACATAGGAATGTTAGTAAAAATCAAGAGTCGTAGCAACATAGGTACAGTTAAGGCTTCATAATAATAACTCCTCTCGTTCCTCATGCACAATCTATGTCCACTTTCCACCTTCTTGCACTTTCTGCTCACCATAATTGCTAAAGCCTTATCAGTTTATACTAATTTAGTGTGTGTGTATATATATATACATATCTAAATCCCTAGTAATATATTGCTACTTGATTTCATGTTGAGACCGTTTTGGAATTGCAGAGTGAAAATTCATTTATTGATCAAGATGTTGGTGTTGTTCCTTTGCATCAATCTGCTGGGCCTACGTTGTGCAACTAATTATCAACATCAACCCTGCTTTCAGCTTCCTGCGACATGCCCATACGACAATTTTCTAAAGGCTGCTGGTTGTTGATACCTAGAGAAGGTTGAAACTTAGGGTCGATATCAGAGTCGAGTTATCATTATACCTTTCTGCTTTCAATATTTGCCCTGGGACCAGCTAATTTTGTGTTTTTGACGCCACAACAGGTTGAAATTTGATTGCCTTCATCTTGTCTTTTCTTAAAGACTCATTAAATTGTTGTTCGGATGCATTGCAAAGTCGACTTTAAGTGGCCCTTCGTGTGCTCTCTTTCATTTCATCAAGGTTCACTCGTGCTTGCGGTTGTAGAGTTCCTTCCCCCTCTTCCTTTTGTAAACATTGTTATTTGTATGTAAATGTTCCATGCAAAAAACTAAAATAAAAAATAAAAAAAAGGGGATATCTTGGGTTATCATAAAATTTTCATGTGTGTAAAATAAATCATAAATTAATTCCATTAAAGTTAAAATTTAAAATAAATTGACCCCACTAAAATGAAATTTTAAGAATCGATATATAATATATTAAAATAATTTGGGATCAATATATAACTAATGAAAAATAAAAATCAAAGAAAGAATAATTAAGATAAAAAAAATATTAGTTCTATTTATGCATTAATTTTTTTCTCACTTTTATATCCTACCTAGCACACCCAAAATTTATTCTCTTTTTATTTTTTTCACCTTCTTTTAATCATTATTTCATTTTTTTCACTCTACCAAGAATACCCATAAATTTTCCTTCCTATTTGTTATTGGCTTCAATTATCATAATTAAGTTACACATTTAAACTTGTTATCAAATGACTATTGAAAACCAATCAAGACAAAATAAAAAAAAATTAAAAAAATTATGTCCAACCGCAACGAAACGTGGACATTCCTTCTAGCTACAAATAAAAATACATTGTCTAATTAAAATTGCTTTAGAAAACTATTATACTTCCAAGGATGTTGCATAGAATATGGTATAGTAGTACCTTTTTACGTTGGTATGTCCCAATTTGTTTGGGCTACAAATGAGCTAGAAAAGAACTTCACAATCCATTGAGCTTGAACCAAACTTGATCGGGCCAAGACCAATCAAATTGGGCCAGATGAGTCGTCCGATTGAGTTTTTTTTTTTTTTTTCATTTATTTAATTTTTCTTCCTACCCATCAAACCAACGTAATGTTGGTGTGATTATTACACCCAATCCAATTTAATAATGTTATAGGTTTTTAAAAATACCAATCCAGTCCAAACGCCGAAGTAGAAGAGACAATGACCGACTCCTAATCTCTACTCTCTCTCTATGCGTCTAGAATCTTCTTCGATTGTTTCAAAAGCCAGCAAATTCCCTTAATTTCTTGTAACCTCCGGTTTGCTTGCTGTTATTGTTCCTGTAAGTAACCGATCAAACAACTTTCTCTGTTTTGTCCTTTACAATTTTTTTTTTCAAATAAATTGTTAAAAAAAAGAAAGAAAGAAATGTGCCCATATTTAGGTCAGCTCAGTTCGATCCCACATAGAATTTATTTGGTTTTTCAAGAATTGTTTGCCTTTATTTGGAATATAATTCTGGTTGAATCTAATTGAATATCTGGGTTCTTCTATTTTACTTTATCGTTGAAAGATTCTACCCCTTTGATCAATTTAGAAGCTGATTGATGTTCGTTGTTATATGGGTATGCAGAATTTTGAGTCTTCTTTGGGTAGTGATTAGTAAATCTCAGTAATGGAGGATGTCAAGGAGCAGCAAAGTCAATCCCATGGTAATTTTTCAAGAAGCGCATGATAGGAGTTAGCTGTACCAATGCTATATTATAATATTCTTCATTTTAGTTTTTGATCCTTACTTCATAAGTCATGTTCTTCGCAGGTGAAGATGGTGAGAATGAAATAGTTACTGAAGATACTGCATTTGTGCATAGGGAACCACCGCAAGATGTTAGTGGACCTCCAAAAGTCGATTCTGAGGTGGAAATTCTTCACGAGAAAGTAACAAAGCAGATCACCAAGGAAGGCCATGGTAACAGGCCATCAAAGTATTCAACATGTTTCTGTAAGTACCAGAAAGTTGAGAATTGTTGCTTCTTTTCTCTCTCTGGCCATGCTTTTAGCCGACTATATGAAAAGCTGAAATTCTTATATCACAAACGATCGCCAGTTATTGGTATGAAACCAAATATGTTATGGTTTGATCTGGTCTAACTTTCAGTTCAATGTTTGGTGCTATTACACCTTGATTGCCTCCAACTGGATGCATGAATCTTGGACCTGAGCTTTTACTCAACATCTTGATGAAGCTATACTAATTAGCCGTTATCTGACTAAATTGAGCTTATCTAATGCGCAAGTCAATGTAGGGTGTGATTCTGACAGCTTGGTGCTGTAGTCATGTACAAGTTGAGAAATTTTGCTGATTCTTTCAATTTAACACATTAATTGAGCAAAATACTATTTTGGTAACCGGATATGTTTATTCCAATGATTAATTTTGAACTTCTACAGCTATTTGTTTCACAAAAGTTGTCACTTAGTAGTCTCATAGGAGGTCAAGGAGTTGTGCTAATTGACTTAATTCTGTATGTATCCCATACATCCGAGTAACTGCAAATATGAAATAGTGCACTACAGGGCATGGGCTGAAAGCACCCAGCATAAATTTGAAGACACATGGCATGAACAACAGCCACTTGAATTGGTTTTAGGCAAAGGTATCCATTTGACTTTTTGCTCTTTACGTTTTTGTTCATATTAGTAAAAATTCATATTGAAATGTGTTTTACTAGAGTGATTATAGAAAACTGCTTTAGTGGTGTCTGGTCTGTTGAGCTTAATATTAATGGTTTACTCATTACTGTGGTGGCAGAGAAAAAAGAAATGACTGGTTTGGCTATTGGTGTCTCAAGCATGAAGTCGGGTGAACGTGCGCTGCTGCATGTGGGCTGGGAATTAGGTTATGGAAAAGAAGGAAGCTTTTCTTTCCCAAATGTTCCACCCATGGCAGACTTATTATATGAGGTTGAGCTTATTGGGTTTGATGAAACCAAAGAAGTAAGTTGCTCTGTTGTTGTTTTCCAAGTATTTTTACATGCAGAACTTCAAAGTTTTTTAAATTGGTTTTTCCTTCTGATGCTAATGGAATGCATCTCTTGCTGAGGCACTTCTTTAGGGAAAAGCTCGTGGTGACATGACTGTAGAGGAAAGAATTGGTGCAGCAGATCGAAGAAAGATGGACGGGAATGCTTTTTTTAAGGAGGATAAGTTAGAGGAGGCCATGCAACAGTATGAAATGGTTATAGGCTTGTGTTCCTTGAATATTGGAATCTGATATCATACCAATTTTACTTTTTTTTTTCCTTTTATTTCTTAGTTATTTTGGCAAGTTCTAAAGGTTATTCCTCCTTTTCTTTTTTTCCCCATGCTAGGCCATAGCGTACATGGGTGATGACTTTATGTTCCAGTTATTTGGGAAGTATCGAGACATGGCTTTAGCTGTCAAAAATCCATGTCATCTCAACATGGCAGCTTGTCTTATAAAGCTCAAGCACTATGAAGAAGCCATTGGACACTGCTCCATTGTAAGTGTACATTCAAGTTGACAGCATCACTTTTCTATTTAAATGGCTTCTGCAAGTTTATTGATCTGTTATTTTGCATGGCAGCCATGTGTAGGCTTATCTGTAAATCTTGAAAAACAAGCTTTAGTCTGCAATTGTCTCCATTTGATCCTTGATTTTGCCGGTTTATGAAGAAGGAAATGATTAACTTGTCTGTGTGCAGTTTAATTCTTGGAAAGAATCAGTGTGGATAAGATTGCTGATATTTTGTCTTTTTTCCTTTCATACTTTCAAGAACTAAACAGTGACTTTAGGTCTTTTTTGTCTCAATCCTGAACTTGATATGAAGCAAGCTTGTGTAATGATTCTATTGGAGACATCCAGCCACTTTGATTGAAATTCCACCTCTTGAATGTGTATGTCTTTAACCAAGCAGATTCTTATACATTGGAACTTCACCTGCAGAAAACATCTTAGAGATACCATGGCTCTGTGTGTGTGTGTGTGTGTGGACATGATAATCTTTGGTATTTTAACAAGATCCTGACTTGACTCTCAGGTATTATCAGAGGATGAAAATAACGTGAAAGCTATGTTCAGACGTGGAAAGGCCAGAGCAGAACTCGGGCAAACAGATGCTGCACGGGAAGACTTTCTAAAGGCTCGCAAATATGCACCTGAAGACAAAGCGATTGCAAGGGAGTTGCGCTTGCTTTCAGAACATGACAAGGCTATGTACCAGAGGCAAAAAGAGATCTATAAAGGAATTTTCGGACCAAGACCTGAACCTAAACCCAAGAGAACTAATTGGCTAATCCTGTTGTGGCAATGGCTTCTGTCACTATTCTATCGCATACTCAGGCGTGAAAGAGTCAAAGCTGATTAATTTAAGCTCTGAATTTCCAAAAGCAATACTCGAATCAAAGCTTTGAATTATTTTACTAGTTATTGGAAATGTTCTAGGTGGCATCTGCTTTGACATCTTAGATGTTTTTGTTGTTGTTGTTGTCGATGACTACCAAGTGCTTTAGGTTTCGGTGTCTATAACACGCTTTCTGAAATTCAGAATGCATGAGGATATGTGCGTGGAAACTGCATAATGTTAAAAGCTCCGAGATAATATAGCCTATGTTGCTTCACTGAAGCTCGTTTTCAAAGAGATTAAGTTTATTTTTCTCTTTCTCGTCATTCTTCTCACGAGAGCTGTCATCCCTGTAATTGGTATTTGAAACTGCCCAATTTTCCTTTTTCAATGTAAGCAGGGAAAAGGCAACAAATGGGTTTGTTTGCCTAGTGTGAAGTTGAATTCTTGTGCTTAAACATGGGTCGATTATTCTTTTGGAAAAAATAACAAACAAGCCCTTAAATTCTAAATCTTTATTTAGATAAGCTCTGATATTTTTCTTGTATCAAAATAAGCTTTCAAATTTTAATTTACATTAGTTTTTAACCTTTAGTTTATATCTAAATAAATATTTAACATAAATTAATATTTTGTTTGAAATAAAAGTTTATTTGAATACAAATTAAAAGATAATAATTTATTTAATTACATTAAAAATATAAGAGCTTATTAAAATAATAAAATAATTCAATGATTTTTTTTTTAATATTTTAGTCATTAATTTTAATTATAGGTGTTTATGAAGGTTGACAATTGGTCATAGAAAATGGAATAAGCATGCATGGGGGCTAAATTTTAGAAAGGTGCAAGGAAGGATTCTGTTTTGGATAACAGAAAGGGAAAAAAGGAGTCAATAGCCCTCCGACTTTGTATGACAAAATCTCCGGGAACAAAGGTCCTCCATCATAAAGAAAAGGATACACAGACAGAGGGACAAGGAGAGAAAGGGGAAGAAAAGAAAAACAGAGTTATCACAGCTCACCTGCATCGATTGCATCTGACGTACCTCTGTTTTCAACTTAATTGCTTTACCAGAAATTGTCAATTCTTTAAAAAAAAAAAAAAAATGGAGGCAACAGAACAGTTGGTGTGTCAACCTGTGGACGCATTTAACCCCTTGATCACAACAACCTTTCAGGTCTCCTGCATTCTTGTGATTTCTCATATCTTTCACCTTCTCTTGAAACCCTTGGGACAACCTGGACCTTTTGCACAACTTCTTGTAAGCATTCATATCTTTGTTGGAAAATCTAAAACATTCTTAAAAAGGCATGCTGCCTTAATGCATATTTATCTATGTTGTGTTGTTGAATTGAATGTCTTGTGTATCAGGCTGGTGTTGTGGCAGGCCCCTCATTGTTGTCCCGTATAAAGAAAGTTGCAGATTTTTTCATTCAGGCTTCTTCTGCAAAATACTATCAGTTTTTTTCATTCATATGTCGAATGCTTTTTATGTTCTCGATTGGCTTGGAAACAGACCTTCCTTATTTAAAGCGCAACATTCGTGTTGTAAGTATCGTTGCAGGAGGGGGTTCAATCCTGGCCAGCATGTTTGGCGGACCTCTCTTCTGGTTGCTTAGCAAGGTATTCGGATTCACTAGTGAGCCCTTTGCCTTTTACCTTCTTATCTTGACAGTATTAGCAAATTCAGCCTCTCCTATAGTAATTCGGATGATTGCAGAATCCAAGGTTGACACCGCTGATATAGGGCGACTGGCAATTTATTCTTCCTTGATCAATGAAATGTCATGTGTAGTAGCCGTTAGTACACTTAAATCATTCACCTCCCTTGATAGATTTGGAGGTGCAATCCTTGTTTCTCTTGTCATGCTGGCTCTTATCATTGTGAACAAGTATCTGTCATACATTTTAAACAGAAGGAACCGGAGCAATAGATTCGTTACAAACGGCGAACTTTTCCTTGTTATGTTTCTTCTTACAAGTCTGTCTCTGTTTACGGAATGGATGGGCTACACAGCTATAACCAGTTGTTTCCTGGTGGGCCTGATGTTCCCTAGGGAGGGCAAAATGGCTCGGACATTGTTGCACAAACTCACTTACGCTGTAAATACCTTCATTCTTCCCGTGTACTTCGGCTACACAGGATTCCAATTTGATATAAGCACCCTTTTTAATAAACTGACTCTTGCTCTCGCTGTCCTCATGATCCTGGTTAGCATTGGAACTAGAATTGTCGGCACCCTTGCTGCCTCTTATTACCTAAAGATCCCATGGAATGAGTCTCTGATCCTTGCTTTCTTACTCAACTTGAAAGGCAACTACGACCTTATACTCATTAATACACCCCCAAGACCCGAAGTAAGTTTCTTTTGATGTATGTATTTGCATATTTACAGGTTTATTATGCATATACATATACATGGCAACAATAAGGTGATAGGAGATAACTCTATTCTGAAATCTACCCCTTTATTTTACTCTGCTGTCCAGTTTAATCTAGAAATTCAAGTTTCATTTGAGCCATTATTACAAACGAGTACAAAGCTAGCTGTTCATGAAAGGAATAAAGAGTTTTATGCTGGCATCTTTGCTTTGATCAATGCTGATGGTTGTTGTTAATTGTTGCAGATGGTCTGGGCTACAGATGTTCACAATTTTCTTTTGACAGTAGTAGTGCTTAACACATTGATCGTAGCGCCAGTAGTCGCCATTTTATTGAACAGAGAAGAGTCTTGCGCTCATTATCCTACCACACTCGAAATTCTTAATCCAGAGAGTGAGCTCAGAATGTTGGCTTGTGTCTATGTCCCACGCCATGTTTCAGGGCATGTTAGCCTCATGTCAGCATTAGGTGGCTGTCCAAATGCACCCATCAAGCCATATATGGTGCATCTAGTGGAGCTTCCAAAGAAAAGAAAAAGTAAATTGATGTACCATCAGCTAGAAGATGGTGATCAATTCAGCGATGAAGAAGAGTATGGTGGAAATGATGTGCTAGAGATCAATGATGCTGTTGACTCCTTCACTTCAGGGACCAAAATTTTGATCCACCAAAGTAAACTTGTATCATCCTTTCTAAGCATAAACGAAGATCTGTGCAATGGGGCCGAGGACATGCGTGTGTCTATTATATTCCTTCCGTTTCACAAGCACCAAAGAATTGATGGGAAAATGGAAAACAGCATGGAGGAAATAAGGACTATAAACCAGAAGGTTATTCGCCATGCCCCATGTTCCGTAGGTATCTTTGTGGACCGAGGACAAACTGGGTTCCAACAACCGCATGGCTACCCATCTGTGCAAAACATAGCAACATTGTTCTTCGGTGGCCCTGATGATCGTGAGGCTTTAGCATGTAGCAAAAGAATTTCAATGCACGGTCAAGTTAGTTTGACAGTCTTCCGCTTCATACCAACATCAAGTAGAAACAATTCATGGATTAACGATGCATCCCACCAGGATGAGGAGGTCATCATGGCAATATCAAATGTCGGGACAGAGAACGAGATAGACAATGCCTTTGTGGAGACCTTTTATAACAGGTAATTACTTCCCAACCTTTAGATTTTGTAAACCCTTTTTCTTTTCTTCTGTAATTGGTTATGACAGAATAGTTTTTTTACTAGGTATGTGGCACAGGGTAAAGCCGGTTTCATTGAGAAGTATGTGAGCAATGGGCTAGAGACAGCAGCTGCTCTAAAAGAAATTGCGGAAATGTATTCATTGTTCATAGTAGGGAAGGGAGGGCGAGGGAACAGCCCCTTAACAACAGGTCTGAGCGATTGGGAGGAGTGTCCAGAGCTGGGGTCGGTTGGGGATCTCTTGGCATCTTCTGAAATGGACATCAGTGGTTCCATCTTGGTCATCCAGCGACATCGGCACTCGGAGATAGATAGAGGCTTCCTCGATGACTAGTTACCGGAAAATGTAGGTATAAAACATCATACATCATATATGTAAATGATCTCTAGGTTATTAGCTGCCCTTCCAAACCTTCTGATTTAGCTTAAATGCTGATAGACATAGTAGAACTGTTAGGTACGTGGAAAAACAAGTTCAATTCCTTCAGAATAGATTATCAAAGGCACTACTGAAGATATCAGAATGATCAAAGTTCTTTTAAATGGCCCTGCATCCATCATTCGGGAAGCTTAATTATTTTAACCATTTCTTAAGGTTCAATTTCACTGTTGCTTTTACTCTTTTTTTTTTTTTTTTTTTCTTATCCCTTATTTTCGGTTATTCTTTTATTTTTGTTTTTTCACTTTATATTAAATATAAAAAATAAAAACGCAAACCGAACGAAACCTAAATCAACTCACAACAATTCTAATATTCAATCTTAAAGTTCTGAACAGCTTGTAACAGTTTTAGATCTTAGGTTTAGGCATTTTATTTTTATGGCATTACTTACATGTGTTTTAGCCCACTTGATTTATTGGACTTGAAATAGATTCAAGCCTAGGAAAATGATTTTGGACCCACAGATCATACGGTTTTTGGTGAAACTTTGATATTGAATGACATCATCACAGTCGTACTGGATCTTATTTCTATCTTCAACAAGGAATGCCCTCTTTTCTTCCTTAAAACCACTATTAAAAATTTTAAAAGAAATCTACAAAATGGGATTGGAATTTTGAGAAGGGAAATTAATCAATTTGTTTGAATTAATCCCCATAATTAGAAGAGTGAAATAAAACATAAACAACTAAACAGTGTAAGTGAACTTTCTTAGGATATGGAATTGAGACAAACTCTTTCTTCAGTCATAAACAAATTGTAGCATTAATTTGATTGTCATTTTAGCTTAATAGCACTAGGAGTGTTATTTATTTTCTTTGTATTTCCCCTCGGCCTCGAAGATCAATAACTAATAAGGAACTTTTCATTTTTACTTTGAATATTTAATTTTCATCTCCTCAATTATTTTAAAGTAATATTAGTTTTAATTTCAGCTATACATGCGGAGTCATAATTTGATGAGTACGAATTCAAATTTGATGAAAGTTCAAATTTTATACTTACAATAATTATAATCTGTGTTTGTCTGAAAGTTGAAACTGAAGTAGGGAACGACAATTTTTTTAATATTATGATTGCATCCTCTTCCTGCACTAAGTAAAATAAGGATTGACAACAACATTATACTTGGTGGCAGCTGCAATGAGGGTGAGTCTGACTGAAGAAGCAGTTTTTATCATCTATTACCTCCTTCACTATCATCTAAAGTACCCACCAGACATTTTTCCAGTAAGAATTCAGCATTTACCCAAGCATGGTATTTATCTAAAACACAGGTTAAGGACTGCCGTATCATTTAAAAGACAGAAAAAAAAAAAAAAAAAGCAGCTTATAATTTCACCAAGAAACTTGGAGTCTTTGTTCCAGGCACCATTTGAAAAACAAGTGAAAACAAATATATCGGGTATTGATTATAAGACCGCCCTATACCTTAAGCATCGCTTGCACAAGCATCTCAAATGAGTATGGGCATCTAATAAACACGGTGCTAAATTGAAAAAAAAAATCCTAAATTAAAGATGTCAATTTGAAATAGTATATAACTAAGTACTATAATCCCAGTCTAATGTTATGCAAACATTATTTGGGACTGAAAAACATGTATAAAATTTTGTCATTACCTGAGGGTTCAACCAAAAACAGAGATTTTTTTAGAAGGATATTGAATAAGGATGTGCAGTCTTTTCCCACTGCCTTCTTCATGAGCATATCAACACCTGAGAAGAATAATATTGTCAAAATAGGTTAATAAGCCTTTCTAGACAAACAATATATCTATTATAACACTAAAAAATTCATGTATATAATTATAAATTTTTTTAAGTACCTGATAATAGCTAACTAATTCATTCCACCATAAGTAATAGTGTCTTCGAACATAGCATGCTATGCTTTACTAGTACCTTCATGGTAACATGTTCAAATTTAAGGGGAAAAGATGTTCAATCAGAGACACCCTCAACGACAAGATATTTCCTATTATGGAACTCGGCACCAACAAGTATCATAGGCCTAAACCCAATGAATTAGAACGAAGGCTATTTGAGTTGACACAAGGATATGACCAAAATCAACAGTGACTTTAATTATATAGGTTTTTTATTCTCTTAGCACCATTTGTAACTCATCAGCATGGTTCCTCAAGAGTTGCCTTTAAAAAAACAAAAAAAAGGCAAAAAGAGGAAGATATTTGAGAACGAAATTTTTATAGGAAAAAAAAAAACAGACAATTTGATAGACCTCTAGCTTGATCCATTGTAATTTGTAAAGCAATTTTTAACATTACACAGTGATGCATGTTCATTGAATCAAGAACAGAAAGGAATTAATTTTTCAAACTACAGAGTTAAGAGGAAGATATATATTCAGATAAATGCCACATCCCTAAACTGCAAAAACTAGAAGCACATGATTGAAACATCGGACGGACTTCCAGCAAATAATAAATATGCATGTGCATGGTACTTCGACCACTGAGAAAATGCCAATTATCTAATTGGGCCAGATAAATCTAACAATGCTACAAATTTATCGAAGCACAGAGGGTTCATTCTGCCAAATATTAAAATTTCCACCATGAAATTCATGTCCGTACCTCAGGGTGAAACTTCATGTATGGACATATATTGTACACATATCCTTTCAAAACAGTCCTCATAAAACCTTCTGGATGATTTTGTTTAACTTCACTCGTTGAAATAAGCCTCCACACATAATTTATTGTAAAACATAGAAGAAACACATAGTTGACGGTACAATTTCAAAGGAGTGTGATAAATGCAAAAAAGTCTTGGGATGGATATGGTTCGTCTCATACCAGTAAGGTCAGGATGTGTTTGAATAAGTTTAAGGGTGTAAATAATATATTAATATTCATAAATTATTTAAATTTAAATTGAATAACATTAAAATTTGATTTTGTTATTATCGAATTGAATTCGAATTCGAGTAATTTAATTTATTAATCGAATTGAATTTAAATATTTTTATAATTAATTTAAGTAATTTAAGAGCTTAATCGAATATTTATATTTTAATATATTTTAATTATTTTAATTGATATAATATCTAAAACTCGAGTTCGAATTCAAATATAAATAATTAAATTTATTTTTATATGTTAAATAAATCTAATCGAACGAATTCGAAAAATTAAATTTTTATCTTAAATCGAATTCAAATTAAAAAAATAAAATTCGATTAAATTCAAACTAAATTTCAAATATCAAATTTAAATTTAATATTATATCAATTCAAATTCGATATCACGTTTCTAAGTAAACTTCAACCGGTCCTTTTGACTATATCCCTTCTCAAAAGGAACTTTGGTGCGAGGTACGGACTTTCTAGTAGAAAGTTTTGGTTTTTCTACGTTCTTGGCTGGAGCACCTGCATCTCCATATGCTACTTGTGCTTACGATTCACCGGATGGTTTCAGACATGATACATCAATAGCATTGAAAGTCGAAGAACCAACATTAGCTCGATTTCCTAAGGTGGCATTATTTGGCTGCTTATTTTTTTAGGAAAAACCACCATTTTTATTACTATTATGGTTGTTTGTATAAAGACTCACACTCAATCTATAAAGTATTATTCGTTTTGATACGAACGTCTCACGATTTTATCTCACAAAAAAAGATTTCATAAGTTATAGGATTAAGATCACATCAGACCATCGTGTAGGTATTTAATGACTCTCACGATTTCATTGTATAGCACTTAGTGATTCTTACGACTACGAATTGATAACTGTTCTGATATCATTTATGAAAATTCACATCTAACCTGTGCTTTGACCCAAAGATCTTATGATTTTATTCTACAAAAAATATTTTATAAATTAAAATTAAATCTTTACATATATCATTTTTTATCCACACATCATCTTGATGTAAGATTGATGACATTATAATATTTCACTTTTAATGTTTGATATCTCTATCAAGTCTTATTCACACATATTTTTTATGTGAGATTAAAGATGTTATAATTCTAAAATTCATCTTTAACGGTAATGCCACTAATATCAGCTGCAAGATTCTTCGCCTCCACGTCATTTTGATCGATAGGTGTGCCAACCTTGATCAAAAACCCTAAATTTGAGTTAACTATTCAGATAATAAATGAAAAATATCTAGCACTCAAATTTATTTCAACATCACAAACGTATAATACAGTTTATTGTTGATATATTAAATCAAGAAACCCAATCAAGAAACTACAGTTTAAGGTCATGAAAACTGTAGAACTTTAACTTGCCTGACAAAAGGTAAAATCATTGTCTTTGTTGTTATTGTCCTTTGTCCGTGCTGTGAAGAAACATCAAAAATTTCAAATTAAGTTAGGCAACAGTTTCTCTTCAGTGATACAATTACAGCAGCTTTTTTACACCGTCTGTAATTACATAATCATATAGATGTCAAAAAATGATGATATAAGAATGACAACATTGGAACTTAGCTGGTTAAGGGGAAAGAAAAGGATAAATGCATACCAAACCAAATCTTTTAGACAACACATGATTACGATAAACACATGAAAACATAGCTAGCTTCAAGCTAATAATTTAGCTCAAGAAGAAGAAAAAAATAGTTTACAAAAAATTGACTCGTGATTTTACTACCCATAATTGCATCAACTTAGTCTTATTTTGAGTACAAAATAAAACTTTACAGTAATTGCATTGGTAAAGTCACAATACAAAATTTAAGTCCCAATTTTTTTAGATCTCTTCCAAGCAAGAGGGGGCTTAATTCTGGTTCTAAGTTTCAGTGAATAATTCAATAAGCTTCACTTGAACTCCAAATTTTCAAGCTTAAATTTCAATAAAAGAGTTGCCCTGCCTCTAACTTTGCTTCCAAATATTCAAATCCCAGTTTCTAAGTAAAGAAATGGCTCAAGACGACAAATTTCATCACCCAATTACCATTTGGAAATAAGATAAATAAATAAATAATAAATAACTCGCTTATTCAAAATAATAAACCAACAAATAACTCGCCAGCATGAACTTGGATTCTTATTCACGATAACTGTTCCATTTTCACTAGGAAACTACAAACAAGCCCATTCAGAGCTAAACTTCATTTGAATCAACAAAATGATCAAGAAATAAAGGCCTTTGTGGTTATTACACTGACCTCCATATAAGTCTATAAAACATCTCTTCACAACCTCGCAAGTCAGAGTTCAGCTGAGGAATTAGGATGAACGGCCGAGCATCGCTGCTTGTTGTCCTTTAGATCATTGGGTTGGGCCCCGACCCCGTTTAAAACTTGCACATGACTCTTTTATCTTTGCATCCAGCACTATTACTATTTTACTTATCTCCAATGTACACATGTTTTTGTGTCAGGTTATTCTGTGGCCAAGTTTTTTATTTTATCAGATTCAATTTCAATTTGAATTATCATTTAATTAATAAAACTATTTTTATTTAATTTACATTTTAAAATATATTTATAACTACTACAATATTAAAATTTTTAATAATTTTTTAAATAGATATTTTAGGTTGAGGACTTGAGGGACTGGATCTTAAATAAAGCATTAAGAAAATTAGTTGGGTCTGTTTTCATTTTGAGAAAGACTCGGATTAAGTTCTTATGTGAAGTATCTAAAGTTTTTTATTATTATTAAAATTAGTTTAATAAAAATTAAATTTTAAAATTAAAACTAATAGATTAAAAGGTATTGTTACAATTAAGTGTACAAATTTTAAAAAATAATAAATAAAGTTTGATATATTATTTAAATAGTTACTTTTAATAAATATTTTAATAAAATTTTTATCGTTTAATAAGTATCATTAAATTTAAATTATAAATAATATTTTTAATCTTTTATATATTATTAATGTTTTCATTGAAGTTTATCTTTATTGATCCATTAATTTTAATTCTTAATTTTAATTTTTATTAAATTATTTTTAATAAAAAAATTTCACAAATTTTATTTTAAAAATTTCATAAAAATTCTTTTATCTGATCCTACAATGAACATATCTACTCCAATTATAAAGTTTAAACGAAGATAGTTGGACATCACATCAAGCCACGGTTTCTTAGCAATAATAATCAACTTGGATGACAAAAATTGAACATTGCTTCACGTCCATCTCCAGTCATGTAACTTAATATATATATATGTGTATATATATATATATATATTAGTAGTCGGTCATATTTGATGGTTATAAATTGAAAAAATGGGCCTAGTACAAACAAAACTAAGCTCCTTATATTACAATCACCTTAAATTCCAAGTAGTATGAACCTCATAAAAAGAGTTGTTTGAATTTATAAGACGCAATGAAATTCAATCTTTATTATGATAATACATTCCTTAATTCCATTAGGCATGGAGCATTTCTTTCTTGTATCCTATTTGACTTCTCTGTTTAATAGTCTTCTGGTGGTAATAGATTGATAATAGATTGTTATTGATTTGAAAATATAGTAATAAATTTTTTTTTTGAGGTAGATATAAATGCATTTTTTTTTTGTTAATATGTAGGTTTATACATTTTACATTTGAAACTCAGATCAATATTCTTTTATAATTACCATTTTTCTATAAAAATTATAATTTTTTTAATGATTCTTACACATGAAAATAGAAAAGAAATGGAAAATAATGAAAAGAATCACCCCTGCCACTGCACTTGCACTTCACTTGCGCTCTCTCTCTCTCTCTCCTTCACAATTCTCACATGATTAGAGGCGAGTGAATGTGCCTTTCCAAAAGCTGTCCAATAATTTGAAAATCTGTGCATCAAGTTAAATGGAAAAATAGAAAAATGGGAGCCACTCCATTATCTCTCGAGTTAAGTAATATTCAACATCTAGACCAACTCCATCACGTCCCATTTTTTTTGTTTTATTATAATTTCTTTTAGTGCGATGTGAGAACACATTCTAGTAAAGCTGACGAATAAAAGGACGGATTTTGTGTTCTTCCAAACTTTTTTTAATGTGTGGCATTTGTAGTTTCCCACAATAAAAGTCGGATTCATCTTCTGAAAAAAAAAAAAAAAAGGTATTTATAAATATTTTTAGATTAAAAATAAAAAATTTAAAAAATATTTTAAAATATTGTTTAAATTATTTATTTTAATAAATTAATAAATACGATGATATTTTATAAATATTATTATAAATGAACTCTTTAAAAAACAATGAATCCACTAATTATAATAATAAAATAAAAGATATCATATAAGGATTCATGAATTATAGTTTAGAAATACAAATTCTAACATCACTTATCTTAAACAAAACCTTAGTTTGTTAAAATGAGAAAGAATATTTTTTTCTAAAATTTAGTGATTGATTAAATTAGAAGAAGGAAGAAGATTTCAACGTATTTTGTCCGTCAGTTAGAAATTGGTGAGAGAGATGAGGATAAATAAAAAAAATTAACCGTGTACCTGGGCGACCAACGTTTGTAGATTAACACAATGGGCATTTATGTACAAAACAAATTTATTAGTACCATTTAGGATATTTAAGCCAACATCCCTCCTTTTTCTCTCCCATCTCAGAAGCACTATTGTCACTTGTATCATTTGTTTCCAACTGGTAGTCTCTTGCCCTTTTTCTCTGTTTGCCCACTTCTTTTTTTTTTTTTTTTTGGGTTTTCTCACTTTCCGTCTCTACAACCTTCGCTGTTTGCAGAGAATCTACATTTTATCTGAAATTTATTTTTCTCCAACTGCTTTTATTTGTTAAGAATCCAAAACTTTAATGGGATCTTAAGTAACTTTGTTCTTCGTTTCCATTTTTCCTTTTATTTTTTTTAAATTAAAAAAACAAAAACAGAATTTAGGTTTGTTGCGGGTGGTAGTAGCGAGAATGTCGAAGGCTGGTGCATTGGATCTCGCCTCGGGTCTTGGCGGCAAGATTGACAAAACACAAGTCCTTTCTGCTGTTGAAAAGTATTCATCTCGTTTTTCTTTTCTTACTTTTAATTCCGTCTTTATAATATTTCTTTAATTTCTCTTTTCTTTTCTTTTTTTTTTTTCTTTAAAATTTTTTCTCTTTCTTTAATTTTCCTCCCTTTCATTATATTTATATATATGTATGTATGTATGTATGAATGTATGTATGCTTATAAGTATATCTGTACTGTTTTTGGTGAGTGTTAATAAGTAGAGTAAAACTGAAATTGGCTTAGACCGTTAAATTATGGCTTCTTTTTCTCTCTAGATTAATCTGTTTCTTAATTAAAATGCTTAACTGTCTCTTTCTCCCTCTGTGGAGTGAACTTTTTGCTTGATTTAGTCTTTCTCCTACGCGAAGCTTAGTTTCTGTCCACTTAATCTTGATTGTTAGCTTATCATCTTTCTCTCTCAGATGACTTTAATTTCCAGATCAAGCTACTTTATTATGTTAAACTAAGTTTAATCAAGTATAAGATTCTTCAGTTTCTGGGTAACGTTGAGACAATCAGAAAGCGAAGTTTTGGGTGTGTCACTTTGACTTGCAAGTGGCTTTTAATTTTGGCTACATTATTAAGGAATTAAATTAGAACTGTGTTGTGGAATATGGACTGGATCATGACTTCTAACTGTTTTATCATTTGTTTCTTTTATCATGGAGCGTAATGGTGGATCAGATCTCCATTGGATTCTTTGTGAAGTCTATTTCCGGGCCAACCTTTTTCCTTCAATTCAATTCAATAAAAAATTTGCTTGTGCTATACTGCAAGTTTATTTACAGACCAACTCTATAAGTCTGTAAAGCATTATTCTTGGAGTAGATTGGACCACTGCATGAATCCTTTTCCTCCATTTTTGAAATTGATGGTCCCTCCGCATGATTAAAGTTGTGGGCTGGGTAATGGGTACATATCAACCATAATCCTCCCCTTTTATTGGGACCGGGGGGGCTTAGGTTTGGCTAACAATTAATGACTACATTGGCAAAGCTATGCATGTACATAACCTTAGGTTCAGCTACGCATATAACTATTCAGGAGATGTATCAAATGTTAATGTTGGTATATGCAGATATTTAATTAACCATAATTAAATATGGTTAAATATATTTAATTATATGCATATACATATCAACCATAATCCTCCCCTTTTATTGGGACCGGGGGGGCTTAGGTTTGGCTAACAATTAATGACTACATTGGCAAAGCTATGCATATACATAACCTTAGGTTCAGCTACGCATATAACTATTCAGGAGATGTATCAAATGTTAATGTTGGTATATGCAGATATTTAATTAAATTTTTGTATTTCTTGGAATTGCCAGTCAAAGGCTAGCAAAGGCTAAAGTGCATCACCAAACTTTGTGGTGGCACTGGGAGAGAAATAAATGCATAGCTGGCATTTTGTTATGACAATCCCTTTGGGTTTGAATGGTGTTTGTAATAAATCCATTCTTCAAAAAGAACAAAAAAAATCTGACAGGCCTTTTCAAGAAAATTGTTGCTTGATATGTCTGAAAGAAGTTTAGAATTTGTTTTATCATCATAAATGGCGTGATTTTTACTAGGTTTCTCTGGATTCAGTTTCCTTAAAATGCAAAAAGAGTACTGGACTCTTAACTGTTTTACTCTGAAAACAAATTTGTCGTTATGAAACGACATCCCAACTCCCAATTGAGAGCCGTGTAGTGAAATTGATTCAAAGACTTTCATACTATGTTATCAAAATTTTTTGTAAATCATTAAACAAATAAAAATTAACATATGTGCACATGCTACTGCATATCATGCATGATCTTCTGCTGCACAGCGACTATCGGGTGGTTTCTTGGAAATCATACTGTGTATCCTTGCTTTGTATGCATGATCACTTAAAGCTCTGTCTTTGACTCTTGAAAATTTTTGCAACTATTTTTGAACTGTCATATAAGATTATGTTAATGGTTCAGGTATGAGCAATACCATGTCTTTTATGGAGGTGAGGCGGAAGAGAGAAAAGCCAACTACACTGACATGGTAAGAAGTGCTCTATTTTTTCCAATCTTTAGCTCAATGATTCTTCCAACAGGCTGGCTGATTACTTACTTTAGATCATTTTCAACTTTGCAATTAGTTATGAATTATGTGCTTGATCATCTGCTTTTTTTTTGGTTAAGTCTGTATTACTTGCATTGGCACATTAGTTGTTAATTTTCATCAGGCTATAAGATGACCTGCTACGTGCCATTTTGTTTTGTTCTCATGAATGCATTATTCTTGCTTACAGCTTTACCGTATTGATAAGGTTAAATTGGACTTGATTGCACATGCAAAACATTCATGTGATGTTTTGAATTCAGGTTAACAAATACTATGATCTGGTTACCAGCTTTTATGAGTTTGGATGGGGGGAATCTTTCCATTTTGCTGCCAGGTATAAATTCATTCTCTTCTATCTTATATATGCAAGCAACATGGTACTGTTGCTTTTTCAAGTTGCTGCTGATCATTATCATAAAATTTGTTTTTGCAGATGGAATGGGGAGTCTCTTCGAGAGAGCATAAAACGGCATGAACATTTTCTTGCTTTACAACTTGGATTGAAGCATGGACAAAAGGTTCTTCCACTTCTGCAGAGTGTGGAGAAATTGCAATTCTGAGTTTGCTGTTTTCTGTTTCGTTTGAATTTTTAACTTAAGGTTTGTTTTGTTTTTTATATTAGGTGTTGGATGTTGGATGTGGAATTGGTGGACCACTAAGAGAAATTGGTCGATTCAGGTAAATAGCAGTTTGTTTTCGGACCCCCCTTGTTTCTTTCATTTTTATGTGGCTTATATTGTTGATTAGGCTAGTTTTCATGGTTGTTTTTGTTTATGTGTATGGATGAGTGTAGAGTCATCTGACCTCTGTTTTTGTTTTTTGTTGAGTCTGTGCTTTTTGTATTAAAGAATTAAGTCCAATTAGGAGGGAAAGGTTATGCAATCATCTTTTCAGTTAACTTCTTGTGGTGCTTCATAGCTGTGCTTGACCCATGACCCTGTACCATTGGATGGTATGGAATTTGCAACAATATATTTTGTGTATAAAATCATGATAAGTTTTTGTTTAGTTCATTTTCTGATCAAAAAAATTTTTTGAAGGTGGACTCTAAATTATGTTTGTCTGGTGATTTGGTGCAGCTCCACATCAGTTACAGGGTTGAACAACAATGAATATCAAATAGCAAGAGGGAAGGTGCATACTGCTTCATTCTTAGATAGATTGATTTATTTAAATGCAGCAGATAATATTGTCCACTTGCTGTTCTTTTCTTTGTTTCTTTTAACAACCCCAGCACTTTGGAATTTGTTATTAGTTTGGGTTGATAAAAATGTATCTTCACGACTAAGATCATGCCGTTATTTTAAGCACAAATTCTCAAATTCTCCTTTTTAATAGTGATGGATCATAGATATATAGTTGATGAACTGCCCTTTTGTTGTTTCACTGTTTCATTTTGTTTCCAGTGTTTGGTTCAACCACTGTAAGTTTTTCTATTGAAAAGGTGACATTTTTACAGGAACTAAACCGCATTGCTGGAGTGGACAAGACTTGCAACTTTGTAAAGGTTGGTAATATTCTATGACAAGTTGGTTTATCGTTGTTGAACTCAAGTTTACATTATTCTCTGTTTGTTTTAAAGTTTTCCGCACTAGCATGCAAGAAATTGTTTTAAGATGCAAAAAAGTGTTACAACTGATTTTCTTATTGTTGTTGTCTAATGTAGGCTGATTTTATGAAGATGCCATTTCCTGACAACAGCTTTGATGCAGTTTATGCAATCGAAGCTACTTGCCATGCACCAGATGCTGTATGTCAATATAAAATTTTCCCATCTAAATCATGATTTTTTTCATTTCGGCTGGAATGGATTTTGAAGTTTCTATCATATATTGATTTGTTTTGGTTTGATTGGATTGTTATTTTTTGTTGTGTAGTATGGATGCTACAAGGAGATTTACAGAGTACTAAAGCCTGGTCAGTGTTTTGCTGCATATGAGTGGTGCATGACTGATTCTTTTGATCCACATAACCAGGAACATCAGAAAATTAAGGTGGGCATCTAAAGAGCATTGAAATGCTCCTTGGTTTGTTGTGTATTCATGAGTTGATCTCACATGAAAGTTTTACTTATATAGGCAGAAATTGAGATCGGTGATGGTCTTCCAGACATCAGGTTGACTAGACAGTGCCTGGATGCACTAAAGAAGGCTGGTTTTGAGGTGAATTTTTTACTTCTCTCCCCCCTCCCTCCCGTTTTTCTTTTTAATTGGAAATGGAATATGACCAGTAATTTTTTCCATTTTTGTCTTCTAGGTCATATGGGAGAAAGATCTTGCTGTTGATTCCCCTGTCCCTTGGTACCTTCCTTTAGATAAAAATCACTTCTCATTGAGTAGCTTCCGTCTAACAGCTATCGGACGCCTCATCACTAAAAATATGGTAAAAGCTTCCAAAGACCACTCCATTGTCATGATACTCTTTATGAAAAAATGATGTTCTTGGATGAGATGGTCATATTAAGTTCATAAGTGTTTACCTCTAATTTTTCCCTACTGTAGGTTAAGGCTCTAGAATTTGTGGGATTAGCTCCAAAGGGAAGTCGAAGGGTTCAAGATTTTCTGGAGAAGGCTGCAGAAGGGTTGGTTGAAGGTGGCAGGTTAGTTAGAAGTCCTATTTCTCCATGATTTCTTCTGCATGTTGATTTACCGCTAACTTCGTGAATATTGTAGTTTGAATGGAGATGCGTACAGAAAGCTTTTATAGAAAAACAGAAATTAGACACAATCTCCATTTTCTATAGGTGAACTAACATGCTGACATAATCTGTAATTTTGGATTGCAGGAAAGAGATTTTTACGCCTATGTATTTCTTCTTGGCCCGAAAACCAACTTCAGAGAGCCTGTGAAGGAATGGTGCACGAACAACTTAGCCTGCTGCCTGCTTTAGTTATGGAAATTCTCCCTGTGAAGGTATATTTTTAAAGGGATAAACCATGGTAGACAACTTGCAATTTGGTGACCTGCGAGTCTATGTTTTAGACATTGTGAGTTGAGTTTAAATTTTATTCGGTATCATTGTCGGCTCTCTGCTCAATTTGGAATGCTTCTCTTTTTAGTTATATCTAATGAGTATGTTTTCCTTCACCGAAGATTACATATAATTATTATAATGTTTAGTTGTGGAAGAAATGTGGCCTCGGATTACACCTATAACAGAAGTAATATTAGTTTACATCTGATGTTTTTCGTTTTGAAAAAACGATGATGAAGAAACCGCTTTGAGTTATCATATTTCCCCGAGGAAAGAACGTGGAGGTGGAAATACGGAATCATCCACTTTGGCTGGTTATTTTTTGTGATGACTTATTTGAACATTGAAATACTCTGTAGAAAAATTTAAAAATATATATTCTAGATTATTGAAACAGTTTTCATATTTGAGATAAATTATTTATAGTGATGTAGTAGATGCCAAATATAGGATTCAAGCAAGATGAGTAAAGTAGTTAAGCGTATTACGTATTTTATGTGATTGTAATATACCTTTAAAGTTAAAAACGAAGTTGTGTAAATTGAGTGTTGGGTTATTAAGAAATAATATGAGAAAAAAATGAATGTAGTGGAGATAAAGATGTTTAGATGTACGTGTAGTAAGATTAAAAGAAACAAAATAAAAAAATGAAGAAATTTAAAACAAATTAAAGGTAGTCTGAATTGAAGAGAAAATGAGAGAGAGCAGAGTTTGCAGTGGTTTGGATATGTGAAATATAGGTTTAGCTGTGCACTGATTAAAAAAATTGAGTTTTTAGATCTAGAAAAAATTTAAATATTCAAAGATAAATCATCAAAGATATGGATGCAAGTAATAAAAAAATGATACGATGATTAAAAAATTAGATAAAAAGATGATTGTTGATAAAAATTAGTGGTGCAAAAAGATTCAAATTACAATTTAATTTAATTTTCTTATTTGATTTTTTATATAGTCGACTTCAAAGTATAGGATATAAGGTTTAATATGTTCTTATTGTATTAGTTGGTCTTGGCTAGGTCGATAGAATTTTATGCTGTTTGATGAAGAGTCGCCTTTGTAAATTTAAGATTTTATATTTGTTTTCTGTGAAAGCGTTTAAGACACTAGCATCAGAAGAAGTTGATGTGTAGTTAAGTTAACCCTTGACAGGATCAAAATTGGACTAGAATGAGGCTCTGGAGAATTGGCCACAATATTGGACCATCAGATTGCAAGTTCAACTGGTCAGACATTTACAAGTTGGAACTCGCATTAAGAGGGTTTATTCTTAAAACTTCATAGTCCAAAGGAAGGGCAAATTTGACTAAAGATGATAAAATTTTAGTACCAAAGAATGAGGAATAAAGAAATCAAAATAATTAATCAAAAACTAATATTGTGGCTAAGCCATGGCAGGTCCAAGTCCAACCAAAACTTTTGGGGCTCGTGGGAAAGAAAGTGGAAGAACCGGAAGAGGGCCATTGAAATTGGTTGGCTGGGTGGCCCACAAAGCTTCCGTATCAGTCCAAGGCCAACCGACAGTCTAGAAGGCGGAGGAACAGATTCCACATGACTTTTATTTTAATTAATGTTTTGTTTGTGGAGTATAAAATTCAATCTTGAAGTCAGTATTTTTCTTTGGTTCACATCCCAAGTACGCTATAACCTCTACCTAACCAAATTATCGAGGAAAAAAACCATTTTAGTTAAGAAATATCGGTGAATTCAATTTACACTGTCTGATGAACCATGCTAAAGTACACGTTTTTGCTTGCAAAGTTTTGAAGTTCAATCATATATAGTCTTCCAAGCCTTTGTGGTTAAAAACATTTGGTTTTATGAATATTTAAGTGGGAAACCAACTAATCGAGGCAAGATCCAAGTTTGGTAGTTACTAAGATACTGGAACCCCTTTCCACGCAATGTCCAGCAAACTGCCAGCCTATGCTCCATAACGCGTCAAATGTTGAAAGGAAAATAAAAATAATACTATCATTAATTTAAATTCATCAATATTTCATTGTGATGACAGAAACCAATACCAGTGGAAATCTCAAAAGTGCAATAAATGTTTAACGGTAATTAAGTCACGAATAATCTCATCAAACAGAAAAAATAATGAACTCTTTCACATCAGCACCAACAGCCGACTTGGGACCGTAAGACCACGCATGCCTCGAAATTTCTCTGGTGATGCCATCAACGTTGGTGGCGCCGCCATGGTAGTGGTGATGGTGCTGGTGGTCATCAGCGGTAGCCGGTGGGTGGTAATACAAGCGCGCAGTTTGAGGGCAGTGAGAATGAAATCTTGCAACTATTCTCACCCCTGCATCCAACATCTCCACGTACTTCCCCATTGCCGTTATACAGGATGTATCTCTTCCAGTCTATATTGATTTCTTGTCGTGGTATTTTTCTTCAAAGAATGAAAAACAAAAAATAAAAAATAAAAATAAAAGAAAATAAAAGGGGACGGAAAGGAAAGGAAGGGTGTTGCTAGAAAACGTCCCAAAGAAAGGATCCCATGTAATGGGAAATGAAAATTGAGGTAGGGAGGAAAAAGGCCAACGCTTGATATTTATATATCGCAATTTGTCGGAGTTTAATGCGTTTCCAGGGAATTTCGCCAGCCACCCCACATTTTTCGGGCTCCTTCCAAGGTAGGTGGGATGTATTTGAATATGTGCCCCTATATTTTACTCTATTTGCTATATTAATTGTTAATTTGGAAAGATTTATTTTAGTATTTTTCAAGTCTATACTGCTTGACAAAAAGTAATTTCTATAGGGCACTTGTCCTAATAACAATGCCTTGATTCCAAATTAAAAAAATTTCAATCAAGTGCTTTCATTAATGTCAAAACCATTTTTGAAATGTGAACTAGTTTTAGTTTTGTTTATTTTAATTTACGTCTCAAACATTTTAACATTTGAGGGAATAATTAAGTCTATGGTGTTGCAGAAGTATTATAATACAAATTTTACAGATTTATTGGATTTTAATGACGAAATTGAATACATTTAAGCCATTTGATTGACTAAAGAAGGCATAAAAATTTATTCTTTGGTCTAAATAATTTACTTATAAGATTAATATGAGTAAAATGTTTGTTGGATGCCATTATTTGACAATGTTCCTTGTCTCCATTTTGTGAAGAAAACGCATCCTGGGTCAATTTGGCAAGTTGCACAAAAAGCCCTCTTAATTGTTTGGTTATAATGTGCACAGCGGCAATAAAAAGGTGGAAATACAAGGGCCTCACTGCAAAAACCCTTTTTTATTTTTCCCCACCTAATAAAGCCCCCAAGTGGAAGACTAACTCTAAACGCGTCAGAAATTGAATATGTTATACCAACGAGTGCGTAGTTCGCCGCGTGATGTTGCTCCATTTTTCAAGTTTGCCCTATGCTTTCTTCAAATCACAGTCTACCCCTTCCTTTTTTCTACATGTTTTTAATGATTATTGAGCTTACTTTATTGCTTCGAAGAAAATCACATAGCTAGTGTGGATGGCCACCGCCCTATTTCTTTTAATAAATAAATCTAGTAAATTAATAATAACTTCTTCTGTCTCTGACAGAAAAGATGTGACCGACTGCATTAGCACTTGTTGAATTGGTCTTCTGTAAGTGAAATAACTTCGGAGTCGTTCAAATGGAAGTAATAAACTGATTCAACTTATCCGGGGCAACTCCGCCTTTTCTTTTCATAAAGTTCAAATAGGCCCTGATCGACAGTGCGCGAGGAAGGAATGACAGATCAAGGTGTGTTCCTCTCGGCGTAACCGGTCTTCTCTCTTACCTGTCCTATCTTAGAAAACGATATCATCAAAAAAACACGAAAGGGATAACTAATTCAAGTTATAAAGCCACAACAATTAACTGTTTTCTGGCATTATGGGCTTTGGCCCAAAGGCTATGGATACCCTTTTAGCAAGTACTGTAATTCAAGCCCATGGACTGAGCCTGGTCTCAATAATTGGATCAACTCATCGATTGCTGCCTGCCTTTCTCCCATTTACAGGTTTCGGCCTAAGGCTATTTTGGAGGCTCTTGTTGAAGCCATAAAGAAGAATTCTTGTGACACTGCTCTTGAGGTTTATTTGTGGCTATTCTCTTTTCTTTTCAAGTGATTGACTTTTTCAAATCTTGTTTTATAAGAAGGATAACAAAATTTTCCTTGCCTGTTGATAGACATCTGGACTTTTACGTAAGCAACATTGATACGAGCCTAGATGCCGAATGTACACAAAGTTGATAATGATGCTTGGTATTGGGCTGGAATAGGTTTGTTACTTATGTTTAACTGGGTTCATTCAGGCTTGGTGCTTGAGCCAGCATTGAAGGTTCATTCATTGGATGGGTCCGAGTGAAATTATCTACCCAACTTTCTCGTATGCACTAACTCTTGGGGAATAATCAAAAGAAAAAGAATGTAGATGAAGGATAAATAAATCATTTGTTATAAAACTTGAATTAGAGTGACAAAATAAAGCTTCAACATGGCTCAAAACGCTGATCTTGGATTATTCACAGTGGTGAGCTCGTCATCTTTGGAGTTGGTGTCCATTTTACATTCGGATTTCTTTGGTCGGTATTGCGGCTTTGCTGCAGGTTGGTCCAGTCTTTTTCACTCTTCAGTACCAAAAAAAAAAAAAAAAAAAGCTCAAAAATAGGTCATCCTAAAATTTGCCATTACTCTCTTGTTACTACTATTATTTTTTCAAAAAAATTTCTAATCCATCCTTAAATCCCTCTATTCGACTATCTATCTAACTAAAAAGAATATTATGCACATAAATTTTTTTAAATTCGTAACTGATCGAAATATTATTTTGTTATATCTTTACATATCTAATTAGGATAATCTTTCACCTTGTAAATGTTTATTAAATAATCTGCTCGTCTTTTTGTTTAACACCAAAATCCTCAGATAGCAACTAATCTACTAATTTATTACATAGTTATAATTTCCATTTACATAAATGGAAAAGGCCCGTACGATTTGAACAAATGGAAATATGAAAGTGTGAAAGGAATTAGAGAAGTAGAACAAGATTGAAAAATGGCACAGTTCCAAACCAACATAATGGGGTGTTTAAAAGCTATGGAGTCAAGCTGCATCCATTCTTAAAGAAAGCAAACAAATGAGGTTGACAGCCAATTAAGAAACTTCTACTGGAGCAATCAAGCAGACTAACAGTACCAACCAAACCCTGGTGACCTGTCTTTCAGAGCTTGTTATATATGGCACTCATATGATACATTTTTCAAAGACAAACATCATTACATTTCTGAAAATAGCAAACTTTGACCAATATATGTTCTCTCAAACTGATCCAACGGTTTAGAACAAGAAGACTGGCTAGAAATCTATTGGAGGTCAAATCTAAGAGTTGGTTGGGGCTTGTTTGGTGAAGTGCCACACATCATT